TGATAAAGGTCTTGGAGAGATCAGGGATACAAGGATCATATATAAACATAATAAAAGCAATATACAGCATGCTGACAGTCACCATCAAATTGAATGGAGATAAATTCAAAGCGATTCCACTAAAATCAGGAACAAGACAAGGCTGTCCTCTCTCTCCAAATCTATTCAACATAGTTCTTGAAGTTCTGGCTACACCAATAAGATAACAATGATAGATTGGAAACATGTTGATAGCCTGAGAATTTTATAAGGAATGTCATGTCAATAGTAAAAGTTTAAAAAAAAAAAGACTTTTCCATGAACATGGTACCAAGGTAAGAAAATCATAAGAAAATATCCTACTTGTTTTTGATATAATCAAACACTACTACCTGAGAAAGTAACCCAAAGGGTACTCAAAGGAATGGAATTGGGCAGATGGATGTGTTCCATTTTGTAGAATGTGGAAAACTAAAATATGTATAGCACACCACTGATACCTATTTAGGTTTTCAATGGGCAACTGCTTTCAGCTCGGAAAAGGCTGATTCAGTAATCACACTTTTGCTAGAAGTTATGGTCATCATGGGTATATCTGTACAAATAAAAACAGACAATGCTCCAGCATATGTCTCTAAGAAAATGAATCAGTTTTTTGCTTATAAAATAAAACATATTACAGGTATATCACATAATCATACAGGCAGTTGTAGAATAATCGAATTGAACTCTAAAGGCTATGTTAAATAAACAGAAAGGGATGATGTATACCCCCAGAAACAGATTTTATAATGCTTTATTAATTTTCTAAATGTTAATGAGAAAGAAACAACAACTGTGGAGAAACACTGGATAATAGAAAAAAACAAAAGAATTAAATCAGCTGATATATTTTAAAGATGTACTGACTTCAGAATGGAAAACAAAACATGGGGAAGGAGTTTTGCTTTTGTTTCCACAGGAGAAGAAAAGTTAGGGATACCATCAAAATTGATAAAAATTCAATTTGAACAAGAGACATCTCTCAATTAGGAGAGCTGATAGATCATTGAATAGCATGGCCATTTAAACTAAACTAACATATAAAACTAACAAATGCTTTTCATTTGATCACTATAACTTGCCCAAAGACAATCTCCTTAAAATTAGGGTTGGGGAAGGGTTTTGTTTCTGTCTTTTCAAGAGAATAAAGGTATTCAGCTAAGGAATCTGAAGACCACTGGACAAATGAGACATCTAAGGAAAAAGACAAATCATCCAGAAAAAAAAAATGTGTCAAAGAAAAGAGTAAATTGGCCTATTGGGATATCCCATTTCCAACAGGATAAAACGTTATAAATCTTCCTAAATGTTTGTTTCTGCTATTCTCTTTTTTGTGTTTGTTTGTTTCTTGTTTTTCAAGACAGGGCTTCTCTGTAGCTTTGGTGCCTGTCCTGGAACTAGCTCTTGTAGACCAGACTGGCCCCGAACTCACAGAGATCCTCTTGTCTCTGCCTCCCGAGTGCTGGGATTAAAGGCGTGTGCTACCACTGCCTGGCGTTTCTGCTGATCTCTACAGACATATAATGCAAATATGTCTTTTTGTGGTCTCCGTCTAATTATAATTGAAGCTGGCTTTGGAGTTCAAGTGGGCTCTCTCCTTCTCTAAACCCAAGCAAGTTTATTAAAGTAAAATCCAAAATCTCCATGTCATGTCAGTAGAGCCATAAATAATATGGGACAGAAGAAAAACAAATATTTAAGGACAACTTTATTGATACTAAGCTCATAATTCTTTGGTTTTATAATGACTCTATAGCAGTTTTTCTTAAGGTATACATTTTATAAGGTTTACATTTCATAAGATTAATATATATTTTAAACTTTTGTCATGATATTAATGGTCATATACAGTACTAACTAATTCTAGAAAAAGGTTTCATCTACTTTCCTGTACATGATTTTGGGTTTGAGTCTCTATCAGTTTTCTACAATGAATCATGAGCAGGTCTAACAGTGACTTTTGAAGTCTCCAAAAGGAGGATGGGGGCCCCACCACAACGATTCCTCCAGGACTATGATAACACCACTAAGCTGAAAAACACCGTGTAAAGATCAGCTTTGGACTACAAACTGCTTAGAACAATTTCGAGGTATCTAACTGAGATGATCCAGCCTAACAGATTACTCTAGCCAGGACTTGAGAGTAACCCTGCACTTTCCAGGTGCACAGAGACTGGACAACAAATGAATGGTATAGTTACCTCTCCCAAGACTTGACAACCCAAATTTTTCTTTTCAGGATCCCCTAAAGAAGCCTTCTTCCCCAGACAGCAGAAAGTAAATTTAAGAAGACAAAAACCATATTCCCAAGATGTGGGGTGGGTGGCTTTTGTTCTTTCATTTTGTTACGGATATTTGTTACTATTTGGGGGATTGGTCACAAGTTGTTATCTGTAATGGTTAAAAAAAAAACAAAGAAAATTACATTCAAGGTTCTTGTTTGGAAAAGGAAAAAGGGGTATATAGATATAATAGGATAAAAGGGTAGGTTATTGAATCTACTCTGAAAAGAAATAAGATAAAAAGATAGACTATTGAGTCTACTTTTAAAAAGCAACCACAATTTTTAAATATTTTACATTGGAGTGGACTTATGTGTGTTGTATACAAATTTTGTATATTGATACAAATTTGAGATTAATTTGGTAGAATGCACTGACATATACTTCTTGTTCAAGGTATTATACCTACACAAGTCATTTAACAATGTAATACAAATTTCTATTCCTTGAAAATTATTATTACCAACTGTTTAGGATAATAAGGAAATACAAGTTAGTAGATAATTACCCATTACAACTGATTTTGTAGTCAGATTAGGTATGTTTTCAAGGTCATACAAAGATATACTTTAGATAGACAGGTCAACTTCAAACATCTCAGAGATCTACCGAATATGGCATTTAAGAAATTTTAATAACATATGCTCTTTTTGTTTGTTTATTTTTTTTTTAAAGACAATGACCCACGTCTGTTCCTGGCAGAACCAATCTACTTCAGAGAAGATAATGGACATAGAAGAAACTCCACATGGAGTTTACTTTCTTTGTGGCAAATCTAAGCCAGTGGGCAAGAAAATGCCCTTGGCTTGACTGCTAACAGTAATTTGTCCTAATTGGACAAGCAGGACAAAAAAAGAGTGACTGCCAGACATTGTCAAGACAAAGTGAAACAGCCCTTCAGAATATCCTGCTTCACAGAATAGTCTGTTGAATATTCAAGGCCTGTAGTCTGAGGATGGATGCACCAATATTGCATAGGAACTTTGGGTGAATGTCCAGGCAGCCAGTTGTTTCTGTTATATTTCTTACATTTATTGGAAGTTGTTCCTTGCACTTCCTGCTTACTCAATTAATATTATTTCCTTTTTGAATCACTGAGGGAGTTGATGACTAGATAGTTATAGTTTTCCTTGATTACCAGATGCAGAAAGCAAGTTTTATGATGGAAAATAAATTAGGTAGAAGACTTTGAATTCACCAAGATAGGATAGCTAATGGAGTATTTTCTCTGATTTTGTCAAATGTAAATGGACTAGACATCACTGATGCATTTATTACCTGTATACATTATATATTGTTATTGTATACATTATATACTGTTATTGCCTGTATACATTATATATTTTTATTGTTATTATATATTGTATTGTATATAGTTATTGCATACAGTTTTTCTTATATTAGTTATAACCGTCTTTATTTTAGACAAAAGATGGGAAATAAAGCGGTATCTTTTTTGTGTTTTAATAAATAAAGCTTGCCTAAAGATCAGAGTTCAAGATAGCCACAATAGCTAGCCATACAGGCTAGAGAGTGGTGGCACACACCTTTAATTCCCAAACAGACAGAGGTAGGCAGATCTCTCTGAGTTCAAGGCTATCCTGGGATACACAAGACTGATCCTGGTAGTGGTGGTTCACACCTTTAATCCCAGCACTAGGGAGGTAGAGACAGGAGCAATATGCCTGGCTAGAGAGAGGAATATAAAGGGGAAGAGACAGGAACTCAGTGAAGTGTAGAGTCTGAAGATCTGTGGAGATAGGATCTTGCCCTTTCGTTCGAAGATTTGGTAAAGGTAAAAGGTCTCTCTAGTGATTGGCTGCTTTGCTTTTCTGATCTTCAGCTTGAACCCCAATTTCTTTCTCTGGATTTTTATTATTCATGCTACAAGAAGCTACAACAATATACTCAAGTTCTAAAAGACCATGAATGCTAGCTCAGACTAAAGTGCCCAGCAAAACTATCAGATATAGTTAAAAGAGAAACAAAAACTTTCCATGATACAAATATTTAAAAAAAATTGTGTCCAACAAACTAGCCCTGTAGAGAATACTGGAAACAATATTTAGTTCTGAAGAAAGGAATAAGTATAGCTTATGATGCTATAATTATTGGTACAACTAACAATACAAACAACTAAATCAATAAATAAAATACAATGACTACAATCAATACACACCTTTCAAAAACAGCTTTATGGCCACAATTCTCCAATCAAGACACAAAAATCTATCCCTTACTGTCCACAAAAAACTCACTTTAGTTTTAAAGACAACCATCTTTAAGTAAAAGGTTAAAAAAAAAAAGTATTTCAATTAAATGGAACCAGGAAGCAAGCAGGCATTGCTATCCTAATATATGACAGGATGGATATGGCAGCTTTCCACTGCATTTTTATTTACAGTACCAAGTGATTGTGACCATTAAAATATGGAATAATAATTTCTGAGTAAGAATTAAAAATATGAAAGTATAATTTAGAGGTAGGCTTTAAGGCACATACTTGTCAGGAGGATTAGAAGTTGGAGCCCAGCCTGGGTACAGAGTGAGTTTTAGGTTGGTCTGAGTTACATAGTAGGACTCTGTCATAAATATGTGTGTTTGTCTGTGTGTAAGAAGAAAAGATATAGAATGAAGATTGGTAAGTAGGTCAAGCATGTGTAGGAGATACATGTACACATAAAATATAGTGCTTACAGGTGTCTGGATCATCATGGCTCTTTGATCTCTCATTGTTCTTACAATATCTAGAGGATAAATTGGCTGATTACATTCAATGAGACACATGGCAGTTTCCATAGTAATAAGAACCCCAGTCCTTCCAATTCCAGCACTAAAAAAGAGAGAGAGATGTGCAACGTTTTAGTGGTACAATTGTTAAACTTGTAGTTTTTCTGCAGAAATATCAAAGTACCAAATCACAATAAAGAAAAACAATTTCATTTTAAGGTTTTACTTCATGGAAGAAAGTCAACTGTTAAATATTTTAAAACCATTTTAAAATGCAAAGTAGATCTAAAATAATACATTAACGATTACATAAATGACAATTATGTTTTATATCACATATAAGTCAATATTTTAAACAAAGTTAATTTATATCGAACTTACCACTGAGATATTTAAAAAAACCCTCCTGGATACATAATCTATAAGCATAACTATAGTAGCTATTGAAGATTTCTCTACTATAAAGAAACCACAAATATCTCACCATTTCTGACACTGAATCTCATTTGTTTTTTAAAGAAATATTTTATTTTTATGAATGTAAATGTTTTGGCTACATATATGTAAGTGCACCATGTGCATGTGCCTGTTGCCTGCAGGTCAGAAGAAGGTAACATCCTCATCAATGGGAGTTACAGATGGTTGTCAGTCACCATGTGAGTGCTGGTTACCGAACCCTGGTCCTCTGTGGAAACAAGTACTTTTAACCACTGAGCCATCATCTCTCCAGCCCTGATACTGGCCTCTTAAAATTTTTTTATTAGGTAGAATAAAAAATGATGGATTTCATGACATTTTTCATGTATGATATGATACTTTGCTCATATTTAACTTCCTCCTACTACCCCCCTTTCCCCGCCACAAAGATCTCTCCCTCCACCATCAGTCTTCTTTGCGTTCAGCTCATATGTATACATTTAAGTACATGTGTATATTTAAATCTAGATACTCTATGACAAAAAATAGAACATTCTAGCTTTCCCATGAACTCTCCCACTTCCCTTCTTTTCTTTAAATCTTGTAGTCTTCTTCTTCTTACTTGCCTGTCATATGCTTTTTTTTTCAGTAAATATCAGCAAAAATACTCAAAATTTGTCTTTCTGCACTTGGCTTACTTTAATATAATAATCTGTAGTTCCATCAACTTTGTTATAAATGACATTTTCATTCTTCTTTACACCGAATTCATTGTCCATATGCACATTTCCTCATTCATTCACCTGTTGTTGGGCATCTAGGCTGGTTCCATACCTTGGCTATTGTCATTAGTGTAGCAATAAGTACAAACATTTAAGCATCTCTGTGATGTATGTAGACCTGGCATCAGTGCTTCAAGTATATACTGAACAGTGATATATATGATAGTTCCATATTCAGGGAACCTACATACTGATTTCAACAGAGGCTGGAGCAATTTATACTCTCAGTAGCAGTGAATAAGGGTTCATCTTCCTCCCCATGCTCACCATCATTTATATTCTTGATGATGGCCATTCTGAGTGGAATGAGATGGAATGTCATCTAATTTTAATTTTCATCTCTCTGGTAACTAAAGGATGTTGAACATTTTTTCACACATTCATTGGCTATTTGTATTTATTTATTTATTCATTCATTTATCGTGTACACAGTATTCAGCCTCCTTTTATGCCTACAGGCCAGAAGAGGGCACCAGATTTTATTACAGATGGTTGTGAGCCACCTTGTGGTTGCTGGGAATTGAACTCGGGACCTCCAGAAGAACTTAGGACCTCCAAAAGATCAGTCAGTGCTCTTAACCTCTGAGCCATCTCTCCAGCTCTATTTGTATTTCTTCTTTTGAGAACTATTAGTTTACTGAGTGGATATTTTGTTATTGTTCTTTCTAGGTATTATTCCTGATAGATCAGATCTCCAGTTGGCAAACAGTGTCTCTTCACACCACTGGTTATTTCCTTTGTCATGCAGGAGCTTTAACTTTGATTCAGTTCCATTTGTTGATTCTTGCCATTATTTTATAATTAGTATTGCTAGTACTCTTTTTTAGAAAGTTTCTTGTAACTCCAGTTTCAGGGTATCCTATATGACACCTTCGCATCAATGCACATAAAATAAAGTTAATTAAAAAAAAAAAGAAAGTTTCTGCTTGTGCTATGAGTGTTTGACCCATGTTTTACTCTAGGAGTTTCAGATTTTCAAGTCTTATATTAAGGTTTCTGATCCATTTTAAACTGATATTTATGCAGTGTGAGAAATATGAATCTAGTTTCATTCTTTTAAAAGTGGCTATCCAGGTTGTCCAGCACCATATATTGAGTAGGTTGTCTTTTCTCCAATATATGTATGGTTGGTCACTTTTTATCAACGCAACATGAACTAGAGTCTCCTAAGAAGAAACCAATTGAGGAACACCCTCCACCGAGAGCCTGTAGGGATGTGTTGGTGGGCACATTGTCTTAATTGCTGATTGATATGGGAGGGTCCAGACTACTGTGGGAGTGCCCTTGGCAGGTGCACCTAGGCTATATAAGAAAAGGAGGTGAGCAAGTCAACAGCCCTAAAGGAGTAACCACTGTGGTCATTCTTCAGTTTCTGCAACTAGGTTCCTGCTGTGAGTCTTGCCCTGACTTCCCTCCATGATTAAAAATAAGCTACTAAGGTAAAGTAAATCCTTTCCTTCCCAAGTTGCTTTGGGTAGTGTTTTGATCATAGCAAGAGAAAAACCAAACTAGAGCAGAAGCTGGTACTAAGAGTGAGGCCTTGCTGTGGTGGACCTGACTATGTGGCTTTTATGCCTTATGGGAGAAAGGTGGAGAATTTGAAGCTTTGAGCTGAAAAAGTCATTAAGTGTTTGAAGCTCAATGAGTTTTTAGAAAAAAATGTTGAAAGCAACGAAGATGATGGAGGCCTGACTTGTGAAGTTTCAGAGGGAAGTTAGAGTCCCTCAAAATAGTCTACCAAAGCTGTTCATATGATATTTTGAATTAGGAATAGACTGTTTCTTGTCTGCTGGAGCTGAAGAATATTTTTTTTTTATTAACAAGAGACCAATGCTACCAAAGAAAAAGTATGTTTTAAACACGTGTAAAATGGTAGAAGTAACTGTATGCATTTACTTCTGGGCCCATTATTCTAGTTCACTGGTCTCCACGTCCATTTGATGCCAGTAGTTTTCTCACTATAGCGATGTAGTATAGTTTGAGATCAGGTACTGTGATACTCAGTGCTTATGATGGGCAGAGCACTATTTGGGGTCTTTTGTGCTTTCATGTGAGTTTTAGGATTGTCTGTTCCAGTTCTGTAGAGAATGTCACTAGAATTTTGACAAGGCTTATATTCAGTCTGTAAGTTACTTTTAGTAACACAGATATTTTTACAATTATTCTGGAAATCCAGAGTATGGGAGGTCTGTTCGACTTTCAGTGTAGTCAATCACTTTTTCAGTATTTAAAACTTTTTATTGTAGAGGTCTTTAATGTCCTTCATTATGTTTAGTCTTAGGTATTTTATTCATTAAAGCTATTATAAACTGAATTCTTTGTTGATAAATTTGTTACTTGTAAATATGAAAGATACCTATTTTGTATTTTTTTTCTCTTTTTTTAATCCTATTATTTTGCTAAAAGTGTTTTTCAAAGCTAAGTTTTTTCATGGAATCCTTAAGATCTTTCAAATTTGGACCACAAGCCTAGAAATTAGAGCTAATTTAACTTTTTCCGTTATGACTTATATCATCTCATTCTCTTATCTCATTATTCTAGCTAAGATTTGAGATTATACTGAATAAAGTATATTATATTGCACTATATTAAATATGCAAATTGTATTGTTCCTGACTATTGAAGAAATGTGTTCAGTTTTTCCTGCATTTAGAATAAAGTTGGCTACAGGTTTGTTGAAGTTCGTCTTTATTATGTTAGAGGCACGGTTCTTCTGTTTTTCCTTTTCATTCCCTCCTCCTTCCTTCCTATAATCTTACAGGTTGTTGTTGTGGTTGGTTAGACTAATAGTCTGTTCTTCTCACTTTCACTATCTGCATTAGCAATTGCACTGTCTTACTATGTGTATCCTTTGTTCATTTAGTCCTCTCATGAAATTTAATCTCTCCTGTGCTCTCTTGATTGAATCTATCTTTTCTACTCTTTTTTTTAGGATCCCTTTAAATATTTTTGCAATGCAGACTTGGTGACCAGGAACTGTTTTAGTGTTGAAATGTCCTTATTTCTGTTCGCATAAGAGGTCGCTTTGTTAGATACAGCAGATGTATTGGTTATTCACGGTCAGGGCTTGAAATATACTATTCCACGCTTTTCTGGCACTGCAATTTCTGATGTGCTCGCCCCCTCGCCAAACAATTTACTATCTCAACCTTGTTTATCAGAATTATTTATTTATTTTGAGATATATACACATACGTATTTATGTATGCACATCACATACATTCCTGACACAAGAAGTCAGAAGAAAGTATCAAATCCTTTGGAACTAGGTTTATAGATAATTATGAGCCATTCTGTGGGTGCTGGGAATCAAACCCAGGCCTTCCACAAGAGCAGCCAGTGTTCTTAACTGCTGAGCCATCTCTCAAGTCCCTATGCCAATGGCTTTATAACTGAGTTGCTATTTTTTTACCTACATTTTTTTTTTTTTTCAGAAAGGGGCTCACTATAGCCTTAAACTCACAACGATCCTCCTGCCTTTGTATCAAGGTATGTTCCACTATGCCTGGCTCTGGCTCTCTTACAGCTTTTTTTTTGGGGGGGGGGGCTTTCGAGACAGGGTTTCTCTGTGGCTTTGGAGCCTGTCCTGGAACTAGCTCTTGTAGACCAGGCTGGTCTCGAACTCAGAGATCCGCCTGCCTCTGCCTCCCGAGTGCTGGGATTAAAGGCATGCGCCACCACCGCCTGGCTTCTCTTACAGCTTTTAATACTGATTTTTGTTTTATATTTTTGGCATTTTGAGTACATTGTATCATGGAGAGGTTTTCCCCTGGTCATGTAATTTTGGGTTCTAAATAATTCTTGGGCTTAGATGTTTATTTCTTCCCTATATTTGGAAAACTGCTCTAATTTCATTGACTGGATTTTCTGGCCATTAGCTTTCATGTTGACTCCTTCTACCCCAGATTCTGAGGTTCTGTCTCTTGATTGTGGCCTACAAGTTTTGAAAGCTCTGGTTGTGCCTCTGTTTGTTTGCTTTCAAGCCTTCAAGTGTGGATAGCACTCTTCAGACTGGTCCACAATCCTGATGTTCTTTTACTGTTGTTGTGTTTGCTCTAGCCTATTGGTGCTGCTTTTTACATTCTATATTTTATTAAAAAATTTGCTCTACTGAGATTTTCATTTTCAACATTTCTATTTGTTTTTATTAACCCCAATTTCTTTGATTAATTCCAAGTCCCAATGTTAGTTCACTCATCTGTTTGTTTGTATCTTCCTTGAAGTTATTGATAATTTTTACAGGAAAATGTTTGAATTTACCCAACATTTTATCTGTCTTAGTATCTTTGAATTTAGTAACTGAGGATTATGTCTGTGTCCTAATTTGTGCTTCTGTTGGAGTGGATTTCCATTCAGATTTTCTTTGGGGATCTGCTTAGTGAGCAGCCGACACTTGCAGGCTAAGCCTTCCTACAATACCACTAAGGGAGATGAAAACAAATTGGCTCATCAACAGTAACACCATATTGAACGTGACATGCAGTTAAAACTGGCCGAAGCCCAGCCGGGCAGTAGTAGATCACACCGTTATTTCAGTACTTAAGAGACAGAGGCAGGCAGATTTCTGAGTTCAAGGCCAATCTGGTCTACACAGCAAGTTCCAGGACAGCAAGAGATACACAGAGAAACCTTGTCTTGAAAAATAAAAACAAATAAACAAATAGATCAAAGCCCATAATATACCATCAATGACCAAAGAAGAGAAAGTGGCAAAAGTAATGGAAAGTAAACTGTGAAGTTGACAATCATTTAGAGAAAATGTGGAAATAGTAATGAATAAAATAAAAGAAGAAATCAGTAAAGGAGAGAAAACAGATGCAAAAAAAACGTTAAATAAAAGGAAAAAGAAGAGTAAAGACAAGTTATAAAAGGGAAGAGAAAAAACAGGAGATTAAAACGAGAAAAAGAAAGCTTGCTGAATAATGAAAAACACAGATAAACATAAAAAGGGAATTGAAAAGATAAAGACATAAAAGTTTTATTTTTTTAAGACAGGAATGGCAGTACACACATGTAACCGTAGAATTGGGAAGGTGGAGGACCAAGGATCAGCAGTTCAGGGTTGTTCAAATTACAAAAACGGTATAAGACCAGTATAGGTTATATTAGACCTCATTTCAAAAATATTAAAGCAATAAAAAAAATCAGTAAGATAAAGTTAAAATACCAACAAAAGTATAGTAGGGCAAAAAATCCAGAGGAAACACAAGGGCAAAACAAAAAAAAAAACAAAAAAAAAAACCCAACAACAACAAAAACAAGAAACAAACAAACAAAGGAACAATTTGGATCTGATTCAGCTTTCCTTACTGGCTAAATTTCAGAGGCCCACAGGGCTAGCTTCACTTTATTAAATCCCCATGTCTGTGTTCTAGTGGCCTCTGCTGGTCACACTTAGTTTTGCACTCTAAAACTGAAAATTACATTCCTGCTGTTATAAATTACACCGTTCTGAATATCTTGTTATATCAACACAAACACATGAAGATAAAGGTAGTATTACATCAGATCTAAGTTACCAGTTGTAAGACACATTCTAATTTCAGAGATATTAAAATAGGAAAAGAACTAGAAAAATAGCTATTTTTCCCTTTCCATAGTTTATGACACTGTTATATTAGAATATTTCCTTTGTCTTCCACCCTTAGAGCACAGCTTTCACTCTAAATATCACAGTATTAATCACAATAAAAGGCCAAAATACAGTATGTATTCCCCTAGCAGCCAATTATTCATTTATTAAGGGCAGGAAATAAAATACCTGCAATGAACAACAATTGGCTCTTCTTTTCCAGCCCTCTTGTTTCGTACATGACAAACAAAATCCAGAAAGTCACTTGAATCATCAGGTACTCCATGGTCAGGCCAGGCTGTGTACTGAATTTGAGTGAGTTGACGACTCTCATTTTTCTAAATGAAAATGAAAAGTTACACATTTTGACATAGGAATTACCTGTAAAGTGTAAACATTCATGTCATTTTACTTTTACAAGAACATAAGCACCTTCCCTTTTCTTCTTGCCATACTGTAAAAATGCACTAAAATCCAGTATTTCAACAGAAGGAAAGGATTTCACAGAAATAGTTGCGACCTTTTAAGGGCTACTTATACTTTTTGATTTTCTATGTGAATGTATGAAGAGTCTTTCCTTTAGAACAGGGTCTCTCTCTGAACCCAGCCATTGCTCGTAGTTATGGTGGACCCAGAAAGCCCCAAGGATCATTCTGTCTCTGATATTCAGAGTTGGGTTTATAGGACTTGCAGTTGTGACTGGCTTGTTATATCAGTGCTGGAATCTGAACTCTAGTGCTGAAGACTGTGCAGCACGTTTTCTTAACTACTAAACCATCTTTCTAATTAACAGTCGAGTAATTTTTATTTCACACTAACTCATATTAAAAATAATTTTAGCTTTCAAAGTCTTTACAGACACTCTTGACACCTTACCTCTTGGTTGAATAGTGTCATCTTCCTGAAGATATAGGCAGAGTTTCCTTCTTCAGAGTGGCAGGTGACTTGATAGCATCCATAGGATGAACTTCCTGGGGGTTCTGGCCAATACTGGTGACATTTAACCTGATTACCAACAGGATCAATTACACAAAATTATACACTTAGGTGTAGGAATTTAAATTCTGACTTTCAAGTACTTTAATTTTTAAGAACTTTCAGTTTTGCAGAAAATAATTAATTCTCATATACCCTTCACTTAAATCTTCCAACTAATAATGTTTTTATGTGTGTATGTATGTATTGTATGAATGCGTATATGCACATATATGAGTGTGCATGTAACACATGTGTGTGCCAATATTGGGTGTCTTCCATCACTAACTTTTCTTGAGATAGGGTCCGTCATTGTACTTGGAGCTCATCCAATTTGGCTAGGCAAGCTAGTTGGACAATGAGCTCAGGGATCCACCTGTCCTGGCCCTCCAGTTTTAGGGCTATAGATATATGCTACCATACCTCTTACATGGGTGCTGGGGACCTGAGTTCAGGTTCCCATGCTTGCATGGCAGGCACTTTACAGACTTAGCTATCTCGCCCAGTAATTATGCACATTACAACCCTTTGTAATAGTAAGCAATCTGTTTGCCTATATCCTAATTAGTTTTACCACAGGTGTGTATGTACATGTGTGATATGTACTATTTAATCCTAGTCCTATTATCATATAGCTGGCTCATTTAAAGTGCAATTGCTGCTAGTATAGCTCATAGAACTGTACAACCACCACCCTAAATACTCTCAGGACATTTTCACCATACCCTAAAACCCTATATTCAATAGTATTTGCTGTGCATTCTATTCCATTCCATTCTCTTTCTCAACTTAGGCATCTATTAATCTATTTTATACTTATGGAATAGTCAATCCTGGATGTTTCATAAAAGTAGAATCATACAATAATTTTTGTTGTAAGAACATTTCACTTAGTACAATGTTCTCCAGGCTCATTCAAATTCTAGTATCAGTACTTCAGTTATTATTATTATGAAATATTCTTCAGTAATTTAAACATATTACATTTTATTTGGTAAATGTGAATTTCCATTTCATGGCTAATTCTGTGAAGGCATGGACGTCTCTTCAATTCCTTGAGTATATACAGTACTGAAACTAACGCCCTATAGAAATACCATGTTTAACTTTTGAGAACTGCCACACTTTTCCAGTGCAGTGCTGCACTTTCTCCACTCTATGATCAACACTTTGCCTACCTTTTATTCTACTCAGGCTACTGTATACATAGTAGTGTCTCACTGTGATTTTGATTTACATTTACTTTTGGAAATCCAATATCTTCTTATGTGCTTAATGGACGGTGTACCATCATAGGTAATTGTCTATTTAGACCATATGCCAAATTTTTAAATCATCTTGCCATTTAACATTTAGCTTGTAAGAAATCTTTACATATTCCATACACAGGCCTCTTAGATAAACATGATTTTAAAGAAAGATAAGAATGATAACATTTTTTAACACAAGTATGGGTTGAAGTATTTAGTTATAATATCAAATCATGAAACCACAAGAAAAGATTACAGGCTACAAAAAGAATATTCTGATTACATAAATACAATGTAATTTGAAAAGAGCCCAAGTAATGGGTAATATTCAACTACAGCTTACTCTGCCACGTTCAACTTGTGTGGTCAACATTACAACCATGGAGGAGCCTTGTTCCCAAGTCATTTGCCAAAAATCTTTGCAAGTGTGTGGTAATGGCCCTTGACAAGCAATGTACTGATTTATAATACTTGAAGAAGGAATTTCCATCTAAAAAGAAAAAGACATTACATTTTTTGCATTTTGACTTTTTACTATGATTGGGAAGATGAAAATCATCCATTAATATTAAACTAAACACAACTAATCTCAGTAAACTGATTAGTACAATAATCTTCATTAATAATTTCATCTGTAAAGGAAATTTCCTGGCAAATTTCCAGTCAAACATATTTATCATTCAATTGTGGAGAGAGGAACTTAAAAACAAATATTTTCCAAAATACCACACTTTTTTTTCTTTTTCATTATTTCTTGGAGACAAGGTCTCACTATGTAGTCCAGCCTCCCAAACATTATAAGAATATATATGACCATATCTGGCATGACTATGACTTAAAGGACAGCTTTACAGAGAAACTTGTTTTAGAGGCAGAGAATTTGCTAGAAAATATTTTAAAAGTATCTATAAATAGTTTATTAGTAAATTTCCTGAGGAAAAAATTCTCATATGAAATATCTCATAAAAGAACATGAAGAGCTATTACGATGATGTTTAAACTTGTGTATAGAATGAAATAAGAAAAATATTGGGGAATACAATTAAACTACATTTGAGGTTGATTTTAACAAGGTGATATCTACCCATAGCAATGCAGAGTATACCAAATGATGTATCCTTGATATCTCCCTCTCAAACCAAATTTCAGTTATCTAGTTTCTAGTATCTCTTTCACATAGACAGTCTGTACCCAACTATTTTCCCATTTTTCTGTAAAACTGTTTTTAAAATGATAGCACACAATATATGATCCTATTGTTTGAAAGATAATGCCAAAATTAATACCTAAATTTCTTTCTTTTTAATATCCCTTCAGAAAAAAAACTGTAATTTACTTTATGGCACTGTTAATATGTTTGTTAGCAATAGCAAGGTTAAACTGAAAACTTCTATAAACTTGACATTTTTAGCAAAGATGAAAATAAGAGCAACAGGAAGAAATGAGAATGTTGGATCAAAGTGTACATATGCATACTTTAAATTCTGAAAATATGATACTTCCTCTAGAGAAGTTTTACCCTACACTTCAGCCAACAACACACAGGATTGTATTTTCAATGATAATTGCTAATGTATCTATAATCCCTTATCTATAGTTCTGAAAATACCAATTGTATGAAATGCAAAACTGCTTCTGGTGTTTTAAGACTTGTCCTTGACTTGAAGGCATTTTAAACATGACTTCATTTAAAATCATTTGACAGCAAAATTTGACTTTGGACTGACCTAAAAGTATTTATACTTTATTAGTCGGACTCAGAATATTTATATACTATCAATAAAACAATTAACGGGACCTTATCCCATAACCTGCTAGGGACATTACTTCCTACAGCATTGGTATATAGCCTAAATATACTTAAAAAAAAACAAAATCTAAAAATTTTGAATCCCAAAACATATTTGACCCTAAGGCTTCAGATAAAGAACTGGACTTGCATATATTATCATCAAATTTGTGGTCTTTCACTTTAATAGGTAAATAATAGTACTTCTATGTAGTTTAAACTTGTACTTTGTTTTAAAGTTGACTATACTTTCATTTAACTGTGTTGTTATTATTTTTCTAAGTATTAATAGTTACGAGGGTCTTTCTTTCTTTCTTGTTTTTTTTTTTGTTTGTTTGTTTTTGTTTTTCCAGACAGGGTTTTTCTGTGTAGCTTTGTAGCCTGGAACTAGCTCTTATAGACCAGGCTTGCCTCAAGCTCACAGAGATCCGCCTGCCTCTGTCACCCAAGTGCTGGGATTAAAGGCGTGTGCCACCACCACCAGGCTGGTTATTTTATTATTTTAATGTGCATTGGTGTTTTCCCTGCATGCATGTCTGTCTGTCTGTCTATCTGTGTGAGGGTGTCTGATTCCCTGGAACTGTTGCAGACAGTTGTAGCCTCTTTGTGGATACTCGGAATAGAACCCAAATCCTCTCGAAGAGCAGTCGGTGCTCTTAACCAAAAGGCCATCTTTCCAGTTCCAGTTTTGCTTTTCCTTTCAAAAAAAAAATCTCACAAGTAATGATCTAAGGCCAGAAGGAGGAACTGTGTGTCATCTTGTATCATTCTCTTCTTGTTCCTTTGTGGAAGGGTCTCTCCTTTCAACTGAAACTTGAGTCTCGAATTTTGATGAAAGCCAGTAAGCCCCAACGATCCTCTAAATCTGACACCTCAGAAGCAGGGTTACATACATCTTGTTATGTGGGTTGGTGTTAGACTCTTAACTCTGGGTCTTCAAGACTGGACAACAAGTTTAACTGTTCTACCGACTCTCTGGCTCCATAATGTAAAGTTCCTATGTAACTTCAAAACAGGAGAGATTTGTTGGCCATTTGTAGGCATACTAGGGGCCAATAAACAATATGAGTCACTGGAGAAGCATGTGTCCAGCTGATACCAAATAAAACTGTTTTGTTCCCCTCTTATACTGCCCACAAGCAGCCGCCAGTACTGTGCAGTGCCATGTACTTCACATTTGTGTTTATTGTGGGTAACTGTATCATTTACAATCACAGTGATGAAGTGCTGTCTAGTGTTCTGAGGTGCAAGAATATGATATAGATTAGCTTTCTTCAAGTATGAATTATACTTCAATGCTGTTGGCTATGCATTCAAAGTTAACAAATCAACAATGTTACTACTAAATAAATCTTTAAATGAAGTTATGTATTGATTAGCTGATGAAAGTATGACTATACACTTATAAATCGTTAATTCTCTATTTACCCTAGAAATGATGACTCACTATTCCCTAGTTTGTCATTTGTACAAAGGGATCTATGACTACCTCAAATAGTGAGAATTAACTGTACATACATATAAAGTGATATATTTTGACTTAAAAATAATCTACAGGGTATCACTGAAATAATATGGCCACTTGTTGGCAGACTTTAAAGCTGGAAACCGCTTCATACTATTGTCTCTTTTATAGGCATTTGAAAATAGCCATGTAGTTTACGATGTTCAATGTTGCTTACATTTCATTTCCTGCCTTACATCCATTTTGTTTCAACTGAGACAGAGTGTCTTCCTTTGTAGTCCTGGTAGTCATGAACTTGGCAGTCTTCTACCCTAGACTCTCAAGTGTTGGTTTTAAGTGTGTGCTAATAGTGCCAGCCTACATGTAAGACTTTACAGCATTTTAAAAATTCAGACTGTCATTTGATCTTAGTGTACCAAAATATAAAGATTTTCCATTATTATCCTTATTTTAAAGTTTTGAGTGAAGTTACACATTGATTAGCAGATAAAATGTGACAAAATGTGACTCTTTGGTTGCCCTTTTAAGATGAGGTCTTGCTGTGCTGCCCAGGTTAATTTTGAAATCTTGAACAAGGGATCCTCAGTCTCCCAAACGCAGAGACATTCACCAATGATCTATTTATTTGTAGCTTAGGCAGCCATCCATCTAGCTTAACAAAATTCTCCTACCTGAAATATTTAATAATTCTCACATATTTCTTTCATGATTCCATTTTTCAAATTTATACACTGATGTATTTTTCACAGATGTCAGCATCAAAGTTGAATAGGTGAAGTACTTGTAGATTGAGAAAGTGGTATACAATTATCCTATATAACAATTTGGATGTGGGAACACAGGGAAATAACATTGCCCATGAGTCCACAATGGCCAAAGCTAAGTGATGTATATGTGAAAGCTGATTTTACAGTTAAAAAAATACATTTTTATTTGTGTGTGAGAGAAGCAGACAGACAGACACGGATGGAGACAGAGAGAGAAAGAGAAAGAGAGCCCATGTGCGTGCCTATGGAGGTTAGAAGAGGGCTCCAGATTTCTTGGTGCTAGAGTTACAAATGGTTGTGAGTGGCCCAGTGTGGGTGGGTGCTAGGAACTGGATGCTAATCCTCTGTAGAAGTAGCCAATACTCTTCACTGCTCACCATCTCTCCAGTCCCTTTATTTCACATTTTGCTCTAATCCTATACATTTAAAAATTTCTATATTATAAAATTAAGGAAAAAGTGATCTTTTCCTTCATTAGTTGTGGGGAAATAATCCTCCTCACAATGATACATTTTGAACACATGACACAAATAATTCACTAGATAGGTTATGCTTATCTCTAGTGATTTAAAAGGCTGCCACTGCCATAACCTGAGCCTATTCTAGTATTCTAGTAATAATAACTTAGGCTATTTCTGGAGTGAATTACTCTATTGTACTCTTCTAATTACATATTAATATACTAGCACCAAATTATTAAAGCTTTTGGAGTGGGGTGGACAAGGACGCACCATGAGGCCCTGGCTGGCCCTGAACTCATAGAAATTCTCTAGGCCTGTCTCCTGAATGCTGGGATTATAGGTATGTGCCACCAAAACTGGCTTAATTTTCCTTCCTCTCCTCTCCTCTCCTCTCCCCTCCCCTCCCTTTCTTGTCTTTGTCTTTTGAGACAGGGTTTCTCTGTAGCTTTGGAGTCTGTCCTGGAACTAGCTCTTGTAGAACAGGCTGGCCTCGAACTCACAAAAATCAGAAATCAGCCTGCCTCTGCCTCCTGAGTGCTGGAATTAAAGGCGTGTGCCACCACCTTTTTTTTTTTTTTTTTTTGGTTTTTCGAGACAGGGTTTCTCTGTAGCTTTGTAAACCAGGCTATCCTAGAACTCATAGAGATCTGCCTGCCTCTGCCTCCCAAAGCGTGCACCACAACTGCCTGGCCTGACTTAATTTTCTTCTTCTTCTTCTTTTTCTCTCTATGTAGCAATAGTTGTCTGGGAACTCACTCTGTAGACCAGGCTGACATTGAACTCATAGAGATCTGCCTATCTCTGTCTCCTGAGTGGCGGAATTAAAAGCATGTGCCACCACCAACAGTCGCTTGGTTATTCTTTAAAACATTAATTTGATAAAATAATATTCAATTAAAGTTAGACCCTCAATAAAAAGGAATTAACCTTAAAATTTTCAATAGTTTCAGTTATTTCAAATAACAAAAGAATAACAAAAAAAACTTACATTTATATAGTTTGCATTGATGTAGTCTTCATTACCTTTTAAAAGGACCCGTGTAGCATCATCTAAAAAATTTTAAAAGAAACAATGGATTTCTTTTTTGTTTTGATATTTCAGATTAAATCACTAAAGCCTGGCACATGCTAAGCACAATGTTCTACCACTGATCCATACTCTGGTCACAAAAATCTCTAATAAAGTTTTATTTAAAAGATTAAGCTTATGGTGGCAAGATTTAATAGATACTTACAAGGCGAAATATCTCTGTATCTATTTTTGGAAATGTTCTGAGGTAATTTGGCGCAAGACATTGTCATTCCGGGTTTTTTCCGATACAATTGCTTTAAAAACAAACAAGCAAACAGCCCAATAAATCACAAATGATTCTGCTTTGTGTTGCAGACTAGTTTTTATTCTAACAGGAAACATCAACCCCATACCCCCCACACTATGATACTCTCCAGAAGAGTAGAGTGCTGACCCAGCACTGTGTCAGTTCTGTAGCTTTTGACATGCATTATGTATTTGTAATATTCTGAAAAATCTGAAAACTATTTTGTTTATCAAAGAACCTAATATTTAATAGAAAACCTACAGAGAACACCTTACTTTATTTTAGTTTAGAAGTACTAACAATATAAAAACTAAGATGCTTTTTAAAAGAAAAAAGATGCATATCTTGTATGTTTTATTACAAGCTTTTATATACAACAAACAACAAATACTGAAGGCCTTTTCTGTTTAAACACATGGGAAAATCCTCAGTTTGAATAAAGGTAAACAAATTAAGTCATCTACAAATGTGTTGAACTGGATTTGGAAAATAACTATCCTGCATGTATATGATCCATGGGCTGAACATGTCTGGTTTAAATATAGACTTTCAAAATTCATTATATACTCACTAATCAAAATAAAAATTAGCAATGAAGAACATTCTTGTTCTTTGGTGATAATGATCTGAGGGATTTTAAAACTGTAGAGACAAAACTAAAGAAAGACTAATTATGACAAAATATGAACTTGAAATACCAAAGTTATTTTCTTTAACTTGGACATTTTGTTTATCTTTATCTTATTTTTTGAGATGAGGTCTTTGTTCTATGTAGCCTGGGATGGCCTCAAGTTCACAGAAAATCGCACTGCCATGGAAGTGAGAACAGCAAAGGGGTGTGCCGTCACATTCGGTTCTGCACAACTTGAAGTCTACAATACACTATTCTCATCTTCTACCTGTCATAAAAAGAGGTAGTAACTACAGGAAAAACCATTTAAGGTATCTTTACTACTTTTTTAAATTTTGAGAGGGGCCTCACTCTACAGCTTAGGGTGGCTTGGAACTCACTATTCTGGAGTAACCTTAAACTTATGAACATATTCCTGCCTCAGTTTTGCAAGTGATGAGATTATAGGTATAAGCTACTCTGCTTGGCTCTTACCCTTTTTTCAAAATGACACTTATTTATATAGTCATAACAAGTACTATGGGAATAAATTTAAAAACTAAATTTTAGAACTCTTGATGTCAACCAGTTCTAAGACTATCATTATACCTTATAAATCATAATGCACAGAAGGCTAGGTTCTTACCACTCTCAAACTAACTAGCAAATACTGTTTTAATATAATGATTTCACTTACATCAAACTGTGCCAGTACTGTTCCAGTAATAAGCCCCTCGGCTAGCTGTATCATTGACTCCCGCAGGGAATGGTCATCTTGATGGACACTATCTAGTGGGGCTTTCTCAGGAATATACTGGAAGTCTGGCTCACTTTCTAATTTTTCTTCCACTACATCATATACAGCTAAAATAAAACAAAAAACATACATAAGAATCTTAGGAGAATTCAGTAAGAAATTATCAGATACTTTCTACAGATTCAGATATTAATAATTTCACTAGATTTAACTGATGCCATTGTATAAGAATCAAGAATGGTGGTGGGTTTGAAAGGCTTTACATATTCCTTTGGAGAAAAGGATTCTTTAGCCATATGCTTAAAATTTGAAGACTCATTAAGAAAATGAGGCAGAATTAGAGAGGTGGTTCAGTGGTCAAGAGCACTTGATGATCTTGTAGAGGATCTGGGTCTAGTTCCCAGTATCCACATGGCAGCTTATAACCTCCTATCAGTAAATTCTGAGAAACAGATATCCTTTTTGAACATTCTTGGGATCCTGTGCCCATGTGGTGCACACCACACACACACACACAGACACACAGACACACACACACACACACACACCTTTACAAAAATGAAGAAAATGAGGCAGTATTGAGTTGAAGATCTGATAGACCTGCCCTTAATTTCTAGGACATGAGTCAATAGCACAGACAAAAGCCTGTACACCATTATATGTATGGATATGTTGGCTTTTATCATATAAGCTGCATGTAAAATGAATGTAAAGCTAAACAAGCCTGCTTGACCCTTTCTTCATTTTTTTTGTTTCTGTTCTTTCTCCTTCCTTCCTTCCTTCCTTCCTTCCTTCCTTCCTTTATTTATTTCTTTTTCTGAGAAAAGGTTTCTCTGTAGCTTTGGAACCTGTCCTGGAACTCTGCCTCCAGAGTGCTGGGATTAGTGACCACCTGGCTTGACCCTTTCTTCTTGAATTAGTCAATAAATATACTTCATGCTCTGTTAGTATAAGAAAAGTTCAAATCCCAGATGTTGGGCCTGTAAATGCCAGGCCTACAGCTTATCCTCACTTCTCCCTGTCAGCTCCATTTTAAAGAAAATTGTTTATTATTATTATTATTTTTTTTAACATGTATGGATGTTTTGCTTGAATGTGTATATGCTTACTGAGTGTATGTCTGGTGCCTATGGATGCCAGAAGAAGGCATCAGATCCCCTGGAACTGGAGTTAAAGGCCATGGTGAGCCACCATGTGGATGCTGGAAACTAAATGCTGGTCCTTTGTAAAAGCAGCAAATGCTCATAACTGTTGAGCCATCTCCAGATCTTTAACTCCATTCTTTAAAATGGGATCTATTAACATACTCATAAAGGGTTCACCTGTATATAAATATTCTCTGCACATGACTGCTTCTTAGCCATCTTGTTCAATTAGGAAACATCATGTAACATACTTGGGAGGAAAAAAAGATGATAAATCCACACTGAAAATGAGCAGAGGTTTCAGTCTAGACTCCTTTACAAGGCTTTAGCTGCGTTCCTCTTGGAATGTGGAGTATAAAACAAACAATCCAAATTGTAATAAGGCATTTGTCATCACAGAGACTTTTGTTTATATTCTGGCTCTGTACCCATCATGAACCTATAAGTAGGTAATAAAATGTTTAAAAATATTTTCAACTCTGATAGTAATTGATCTATCATGTTTGGTGGCTCTGAGAATTAAGCGAGAACATATATAACACCCTCGATGGAAAGAAAACTCAATAGCTACTAACCGTTGTCATTGAGTGCTACAGGAGTTATTGAGAACAAAAGGGCAAAACTGAGAGATTGTTGTTGTTGTTGTTCAGAAATTGAGCTTGGAAACATAGTATGAAGCTTAAACAAGTTCCTCAGAACCAAAATGAATAGTCTGTGAATGCCATGGAGAAGAACACAAAATACAGAAGACAAAAGAAGATGCCTGCTTTATCCAAAGATAAAAAGGGAAGTTTTCTTTTCTTTAAAATTATCTCACTGTGACATTCTCACACATGAATACAATGAGTTTCAATCACATCACCACTCTCCTCCTGTATCCCTGCTGTAATGAAGACGCTTTTCTACATGCACACCTTTTAAAATACAAGTCTGTGCACAAGGACATATGGCTAGTGCTGATTAAGTCTCTGCTGGTGGACACAGCTTCCTGCATAACTTGGCTATTGTGCTAGTGCTACAATGAATATAAATGCAGACAATGCTAGTATGTCCAGATGAAGATTTGACATGATTAGTCAAAAGGGCATCACCTAAAGAAAATATAGTTAAAATTGGTTTTGTTGTTGTTGTTAACTATGGCTTGTTACTGAAGTTTTCTAGAAGTAGAACAGAAATTTCCTCTCCTCCACCTCCCATCCCTCGTCCCAAGACAGGAAAGACAGGGTTTCTCTATATAGCCCTGGCTGTCCTGAAACCTTGAACACACAAGAAATTTACCTGCCTCTGCCTCCTGTGTGCTAGGATTAAACGCGTGTGTTACCACCACCTGGTGAGATTTACTTATTCATTAAACACTCACTCACTGACTACATAACACTTCTACTGAAGTGGTTGAAGAGGAGAGCCACTTTAGGTATGTACAGTAGAATAAATACCAAGAATTATTTGCTGAGCAGAGGAAATAACAAGTACACAGGCCCTAAAGTGTAACAGGCTGGGGCTTTTGGGAAACAGTAGGAAAGCCACTGTATCAACAGAGATGAATGGGAGATAAGAGAACCAAGATTTGGGATTTTTGTTTCCAAAAATGACAGATGTCACTGTCATTTGAGTAAGAACTAGGTTGATGTGTTTAAAGAAGTCTACTTACTCTCAAGTCCAGTAATAAACCATAACAAATTATAACTACTCAGTGCTAAATAGAGTACTTACCATTAGGTCGAACTAGAAGCACGAGTTCCCCAGAATGTCTCTCACAGCTGGCTTTAATAAACAAGACTACTTGATCATGGGTATGTTCTGCAATGTCCCGACCATTAATCAGTACCACTTGGTCCCCTTCATTCAATCGAGGGACACAGAGGTCAGCCTATAATATAATGCGGATAAGTGTTCAGATATGTTTATGGTATCCTGAAAATATAGAAATTTACTTTTTATAGACTATAAAAGGAGAACCAAAACTATATATAGAAAAGCATCCACAGGAAAACCAAAACTGCATACAGAAAAGCATCCACGCAAGGCCAGGAAGATGGCTAAGTCAATAAAGTATTTGCTAAGTAACCATAAGGGCCTGACTTCCAATCCCCAGAAAGCACATGAACATCAAATGCTATAGTGTGAACCTGAACCTGTAATCCCAGTATGGGAAGGCAGAACAGAATCCCTGAACCTTGCTGGTTAGTCAACATAGCCAATCAAGGAGCTGCAGGTCCAGAGAGACATCATCTCAAAAACTAATGTAACAAAGTAGAAAGTGACTGAGAAAGATGACAATGTCTAGTGTGTACACACACACACACACACACACACACACACACACCCTTTCATCTATTTAAAAAGCAGAAATATTCTATTTTGTTTCACAGGTTCACTAAACAAATTCATTCTTCATGGCATATCATGTTCATAAAGATTCGGAAAAGATATCAAAGTGCATATATACAAGCAGCCTTAATTGTGTACTATTTAAAATATATTCAGCTTTAGTTCCCATAGCTTAAATAACAGTAATTCCTGAATGATATCCTTCAAATTTTAGGTTTCAGGATACACTGAGAATTATTGCATAAAGTATACATTTGCTGTTAGTGCTTCGGTCCAAAAATCATCTCAAAACCAAGCACTGGGGCAGGGGAGATAGATAGCTAAGTGTTCTAGAACAGTGACTGCTTTTCTAGAGGACTGGGTTCAATTCCCAGCACTACATGGCAGCTTAAATCTGTAACTTCAGGATCTAACACCATCACACAGACTTATGTAAGGGCAAAATACCAATGCACATAAAATAAAAAAAATGATTAAAAAGATAAAGAAAATAAAAGAAAAAGAAATATGAATAACATGTTCTATAAAAACATGAGACCAAGCATAAAGATGACTGGCTAGGCAGTGGAAGAAATGCTGTGACAAAGGAAAGGAGAAATGGACCAATCTACTCAATTTCCTACAGACAATGTCATAACACTCAGTAAGATAGTGTGACTACTGGAAAGAATACTACTACAAAGGTTAAACTTATCCACTGCTTGTGGAGATGTCTGATCTTAGAGGCCAGCACTCAGAAAAATGCAACAAGAAGATACTTACCTTGATTTATGTTCTAGCATTGTGAAGATAAAAATGAGGCTAACTCAATCAAACGTTTTAAAATCTCAAATATTAAAATGTCAGCCTTTATTGTTTGTGAGGTTTTCTTTTGGTGGTTATTTGTTCAATGAAATAAATGCATATTTATATGTTCCTTTATGTAGGGAAATGCATCTATGTACCAGTTTGATTATGTGCTGTTATAAAAGTATGTTTAGGATACCCAAAATGAAGCAGAATGGTTGCTATTGTACTGGGAGAAATGCTACTTCAGCAGAAGAAGCTGTCCTATCACATTACTGTGTGGGTAATATTCTGGCAGAAAAGAGGAAGTGGTCTATGGATTAGAGGACATAAGTCTTCTATGAGTCTTTTATTATACCCATTTATCACTGGTGGGAATTTTCTCTTATTTAACACACCTTTGTTATTTTTATTTGCATTTTTTTCTGATCTGAAAAGTGACACTTGCATATTAGATACATTTTGTAAGAGGAACAGACATTGATTATAAAATTTCCATCGGGCGGTGATGGTGCACTTCTTTAATCCCAACACTCGGGAGGCAGAGGCCAGACTGAACTACAAGAGCTAGTTCCAGGACAGGCAGGCACCAAAGCTACAGAGAAGCCCTGTCTCGGAAAACGGAAAAGAAAAAAAAAAAAAAAGGTTTCCATACAGGAAGAAAACAATTAATGTGAATTATTCATTTCTGAGGTACCGAATACACTATTTTTTTTTAAAAAAAAACAAAACTGATATTACAATTCTTGAAATAAGGTTGGGTGGTGGTGGCACATGCCTTTAATCTCACCACTTGGTGGTAGAGGCTGACAGATTTCTGAGCTCAAGGTCAGCCTGGTCTACAGAATGAGTTCCAGGACAACCAGGGTTACAAAGAGAAGCCCTGACAAAACAAAACAAACAAACAAAAAACAACTTGAAACTGTTTCCTTTAAACTTTTTTTTTTTAAAGTTCACAACATTGGAAGACTGTGGTGGTATCTAAATTAATGAAATAATTTAAAAATTATAAAGTTCTATTGCTTCAAAATGTTCTAAATTCAACCAAAATTTCTAAAGCACAGTCTTTCTGCACAGCAGAAGGGAGTAAGTCACCAGCAATACATACACCTCATAAGAGCAAAGCACATTTGGGGTCATGATTCAGATAAGTAAATAGGAAGACAAAAAAAAGTGAAAAATACCAGTAATTCCATTTTCCAGGAGAAACACTGCTAATATTTTAGCATGTTTCCAGATAACACACCAATAAGAATTATTCAATGATGAACAGAAAATTCATGACTGTGGAAGCTTAATGCTGAGTAATAGGGGACTTACTGTTTCAGATTCAATGCTTTTTAGAATGTACATATTAGGACTTAAAAATGATCCACTTAAAATATTTTTAAAACAAAAAGTAGGCAAATAATGTACTATGGTAAATGAAAAGAAAAAAGCAAACAGCAACAGAAAAGAAAAAAGCAAACAGCAACAACAAAAATGCAATAAACTCCACCTTCATCTGCATGTGTTGAATAAGGAGGCTGTTTGGACAGAACCCTTTAGCACTGTAGCATCACTCAGTGATAGCTTCTTTCTAAGACACAGAGTCAAGAAAAACCTATCTTCCCTGCAACTTACAATATGGTCTTTAGATTTAACATTTGGCACCCGAAAAGTAATAATTAACTTTCTTCCTTATTATTTAAGCAAATAAATGGTTTATTTTTATTTAATGTGTATGGGTGTTTTAGTCGCATGTATGCCTGTGCTCCACATCTGATTGCTGTGGAGAACACTGGATCACGTTGAACTGGAGTTACAGGCAGCTGTGAGCTACCATGTGGGTTCAGGGACTTGAGCCTGGGTCCTCTGGAAGAGCAGCCAGTGTTCTTAACAGCCAATCCATCCCAATGATTTTTTTTTTAAAGTACATATTCTGGGGATGAAAGCACTTGCTGATCTTCCTCCAGTTCTAAGAGATCCAATGTCCTCTTTTGGTCTCCACAGGCAGCAGGCATGCATGTGATACAGATACATACAGACACGGAAAACACTCACTCACATATGCTAAAGCTAACTTTTTTAAAAGTACCAATGGGGATGGAAAGATGGCTTAGCAGGTAAGAGCACTTGCTGTTCTTGTAGAGGACCCATTCCTAAGACTCATATTGTAGCTTACAACTGGCCATAACTCCAGTTCCATGGGGATGCTACACTGCATTCTGATCTCTGAGGGCACCACATGCACAAAAGGTGCACAAACATACATTCAAGCATATTACTCATACACATAAAAACATTTTAGAAAGTACGTTTGTTTTTTTGTTTGTAGCTCTGGTTAGTCTGGAACTCTGCACTAGGCTTAAACTCAGTAGAGATCTGCCTGCTTCTGCCTCCTGAGTGCTGATCATATCTGGCCCCAAGTATATATTCTTTTTTGGTGGTTGTTATTCGAGACAAGGTTTCTTTCTCTTTGTTGCCCTGGCTGTTCTGGGAACTCCCTCTATGAACCAAGCTGGTCTCGTGGTTTCAAACTCACAGAGATTCACCTGCCTCAGCCTCCTGAGTGCTAGGATTAAAGTATGTGCCATCACCCCTGGCCCCAAAGTATATACTATTCTTTTTTTTTTTTTTTTTTTTTTTTGGATTTTCGAGACAGGGTTTCTCTGTAGCCTTTTTGGTTCCTGTCCTGGAACTAGCTCTTGTAGACTAGGCTGGCCTCTGCCTCCCGAGTGCTGGGATTAAAGGCGTGCGCCGGGCTGTATATACTATTCTTTTTTTTTTTTTTAATTGAGAAAAGGAAACAAAAAGTTTCTGCCTCCTCCCAGCCTCCCGTTTCCCTCCCCCTCCTCCCACTCCCCCCACTCCTCTCCCCCTCCCCCTACTCCTCTCCCCCTCCCTCTCCAGTCCAAAGAGCAGTCAGGGTTCCCTGCCCTGTGGAAAGTCCAAGGTCCTCCCCCCTCCGTCCATATCTAGGAAGGTGAACATCCAAACTGGCTAGGCTCCCACAAAGCCAGAACGTTGAGTAGGATCAAAACCCCGTGCCATTGTCCTTGGCTTCTCATCAGCCCTCATTGTTCGCCATGTTCAGAGAGTCCGGTTTTATCCCATGCTTTTTCAGTCACAGTCTAGCTGACCTTGGTGAGCTCCCAATAGATCAGCCCCACTGTCTCAGTGGGTAGGCGCTCTTAAAAGCAGTATTTACATAAAATTTTGGATAACTTACAGGTGTTCCTGGTGCTACTCGGGACACAATTACAGGCATCTTCTGATCAAATCCTCCCTGGAAAACACACAAAAAAAGTTAAATACTACCAAACTAAGAACATCTTAATATAAAAACTAAATATGGACAAATTCCAGGTTACCTTTACATTGAATCCAAACCTTCCATTTTCATCAGGTTTCATTTTGATTAGAACAAGATTATCATGTGGAATGCCACCATTAGGCTTGAAAAGACAAAAATAAAGAATTTTCAGATTACAAATAAAGTATATATTATATCTGTTTGTATTATCTATAGTATGTAAATAATTATAATTCTAAGAAAAATGTTAGTTGAAGAAAATAAATTTCTTTGCCTAATAAATTGAAAATACATTCTCTCATTCTTCCTTCCATTTTACTAGCAAGAAATGCCGGCAAATTGGAAGAATCAGCCATCTCCCATTCTTTAAATCTATGTAATACAGGTTTTCACCTTCATTATTCCATAACTAAATTAAGGGCAACAAATATTTTCCCATTGCTAAATCCACTGTTATGTCTTAATTTTATTACATCCTATTGCCTACTTTTCTTTCTACCTTTCTGCCTGCATATTCTCAGTGCCCCTTCATCTTCCTTATTCTTAGGACTTGGTGGACTGAAGGCTCAGTTTCTAGAGCCTTTATTTAGATAACTACATACATTTCTTGATGATTCTCTATTCATGTATGTGTGTGTGTGTGCATAGTTGTTTGTATAGGTTCACATGCATTTGCAAGTATGTGCATAGGTGTGTGAGCCTAATGGTGGAGGCTGGAGGGCAATCTTAGGTAGCAGACCTCAGATGCTATTCCTCTTAATATTTGAAACTATCTCTCACTAGTACCAGGGACTTACAATGTGGGACTTGGCTGGCTGATCAATAAGCCACCAAAGATCCAAGTGTCTATACATTCTGAGTGTCTGTGTAGCCATCCTTCAACCACTAAGCTATCTTTCAGTTGTTCTAAATACTTTTGAGAAAAACAAACTAGAGTGCAAGTTATAAAATAACAACTACCATGTATTAATTGTCATTGCATTCCCACTATCATCAAAACGCAAGTTTGTATCTTATTTAGCTTCCTAATATCTCTTTAAATTTCCTGAAACATATATACATATGATATTCTTAAACTGGTAACATCACTTATGGCTTATTTAAATCTTCTTGAGAAAGTAATAAAATTAATAAACCATTAGGATTCTAACAGGTCGTCATTTTATTGTACAAAAGCATATTCTAGAGAAGCAAAAGTTATAAATTTCTTTTTTTAATTTTTTTTTTTTTTTGAGACAGGGTTTCTCTGTAGTTTTCTGAGCCTGTCGTGGAACTAGCTCTTGTAGACCAGGCTGGCCTTGAACTCACAAAGATTCACCAGCCTCTGCCTTCCAAGTGCTGGGATTAAATGCATGTACTACCAACGCCCGACTTTATAAATTGTTTTAAAATATACAGTGCACATACACTGCTGCACACTGAAATTACCACTAAGTTGTTAAGTCAGTAACTCAAAGCAATGGGCACTTTTCAAATGGAGAAAAAGATAACACCATAATTGTATAAATCAGGATCAAAGAACCAAAAAAAAAAAAAAAGACAAAGTATTATCATTTACAACTAAAACACGGTATGGCTCAAAATAAACTGCATTCAAGATTTTAAAAGATCAAAACAAAGTGAGGCTACCTACAGTGGACTTTTCAGGAGAACAGGGCACATCAAAGGTTTCATTAGTATGGTTGAGTAGATCTTGCTGAGAGTGAGAAAAATGAATTTGGTTCCAACTGTTTTTCTTAGATTGTTTGGGTGGTAAAGCTGGAGGCTGCCCATCTTCAGGAGTTTCTTGTGATCTAGAGAAGAAAAGGGCCAGAAATGAGTAGTTTTCGTAATCATCTGATGGAAATATTTTATTCTAAATTAGATCAAACAATCCAGATACCAACCATATCTAGTGTAGAGAGGTTTTGAATATATTTCCATGGAAATGCTATCTTTTAATTAAAAAAATTATTTTTAAATTAGTAAATCTGTTTTTAATCAAACCAATAAACACAAAATTAAAGGTATTCATTCCCATGAAGATAATATATTAATTTGCTGTAATAATATTCATACCTTTCCAAACATTTTTTCTTAATTTTTAATTTTTTTTTTTAATGGAGGCATGGGTAGCCAGAGAGCACTGTAGCAATGAGAAGTTAAAATAGAACTGCGGAAAGTAAGTCTTATTGCCGTGGACACCATGTACTTCACACACATGGCCCAGAGGCTCCCTGAGCTGGGACTGACTAGCATGCCTCCTCACTGAAGGCTAGCGTTCATGGTACAAAAAGGCTCCACGATAGCACCTATGAACCACAGTCATTAGCAAGGTACAATAACCCTAAGGGTATACAGGCATACAAACCTTAGTAGTAACCAACAGCTTTCTAATTGGACTTAAGATCTACTCAACAAGAGAGATATCGTGCTTGGTACTGAAAAGCTAGCCAGTTTCCCAGGGATAGTAGGCTCACAGATCTTGGACAAGAACTTATAGCCACTGCTTTACTAAACTAGCATAACCACAAACTACACTCTAAATATTTGTCCTTATATACACAAATAGGTATAGTTCTCACCTCTCATCAAGGAACTCTTTGCAACAGATGGAAACCATTAGAGAAAAACTAACCAATCAAAATGTAAAGTCATGGAGTCCAGTTGCAATGGGTACATCTACATAACTTCTGCATCTAAGGTTCTGAGAACATTGCAGAAAAAGGGGTGGGAATGGCCAGAGGATTTGGGGGTTCTGTGAGACTGTATTTCATGGTAATATCAGAAGCCACACCCAAAAAGTGAAACGAACATGGCTGCCTATACAAGAACTAAGCAAGGACAATGACAACAGATCATCCAAAGGGGCCGGGGAAAACTCACAAGGCCTGAACTCTACACAAAGAACTATAGATAACTAAGGAATGCTGAGAGTAGGAGAAATACTCTTCCCGGAACGAACACACCAATTATTTATCTGATACCAGTCAGTCAGTCCTGAAAACATACAGACCAATAACAGACAGTGTAGGTTTTATGTTACATATAACTATATATATATGCATATATAAGTATATATAAAACTACATATATAATTTATTATATGAATGAACACTAGCATGTATGTAACAATTAGTGAAAGAGGTCACGAATTTGAAAGACAGAAAAGGGGGCTTAAGGGGGAAGGGTTTGAAGGAGAAGAGATGGACTTATAACCTCAAAATAAAAAAAAAAAAACCCTGAGAATTGGGTGTTGAATAGAAAAAACCTCCTGGTAGGTATAGTCTAATGATCTTAAATGGTTGTCCTCCTTTACCATGGCTCATGAGGTTAATAAAGGCAACGATGTGACAGAGATCAGAGTATTTAAGGTCGTCATAGAAGAGACAAAAATGCATGGAATCTTGTCAGGTGAGAAAACAATATATAACTTTCTCATTTGTGGAAGTAGGAACTGATGGCTAGATATTCAGGAGATATTTCAGGTAGAAATTGTAAATCTTTTTCTTTTTTTGATTTTTCGAGACAGGGTTTTTCAGTAGCTTTGGAGCCTGTCCACTCTGTAGGCAAGGCCGGCCTTGAAACTCACAGAGATCCATTTGCCTCTATCTTCCAAGTGCTGCGATTAAAGGCATGTGCCACCACCACCTGGCAGAAACTATAACTTTTAAGAATAAACAGTCTATAGAATATTACTTGTGATTTTTCACAAGGGCCAAAAGGAAGAAGCAATGGTTCAACTTCTATCCTATTAAAGATGGCATCCATGAAAGTGAGGTTGGAAAAAGAGAATAGAAATAGGAATCTTTTTTCCTCTTAAAAGTAAGCATATATTAATTGTAAAAATTTTAATAGACCAAAAGCTTTATTATGATATTTTATATATACAATGTATATTATATATCTTTATCACATTTGTTCTCCACTATCTTCCTGGCCTTTGGTATTTTTCAACAGTCCCCGTTTAAATTCAGACTCTATGACAGAAAACTTATTTCTCTTTGTGGGTCTGGCTTCTTTAACATGATGATTTCTAGTTCTACTTAAATCCCAACAAACATTTCATTTTTTTCTATGGCTGAATAATTAATACTTCATTGTATCTATATTTTACATTTTATTCATCCATTCTTCTGATGGGCACGCTGGCTGTTGCCATAATTTAGCTACTGTGAATACCCGCAGTGAACATAGGAAAGAAGTTATCGTTAGTATATGATAATGCTGATTCCCAGGATTACTAAAGATGTATCATATGTAGCTTCTATCTCTTGAGTGCTGAGATTAAAGGTGCATGCTACTATATCTAATTAAAATTGATCCTTTCTTAAATTTATTATGCGTATGAATATTTTATCTACATATATGTACGTATATCAAATGCACTCCTAGTGCCAGAAGAGGGCACTGGACTCCTTGGCACCTGAGTTACAAACAGTTATGAGCTGTCATGTGAGTACTGGGAACCGAATCTGGGTCCTGCGCAAAAATAGCAACTGCTCTTTAGTGAATCAACTCTCTAGCACTGAAAATGGTCCTTGATATACTCAAGGATAGAACTGACCACGCATTACTCACTTTGTAGGACTGAGAATAGATGCCTAAATGATGTTATCATTTTAAAGACTGCCCTTTACCCTGCTGCAGGGATGACCTCAGGCTTGTCCATGACTTGCTTTGGTGGTGAAAATATGGATTGTGTCGTCTCCGAAAGGAAGCTTTAAGAAATACTTCATGATTCGTGATGACTCTTCTTCTTAAAGAGTCTTCCATGCCATGAGATTAGCCATATTCCAAACAAAAACTTGTCACTCAGAGTCTGAGTACAAAGTTGTACGGAGCTACAACTGATGAATAATAAACTTATAACAATGACAGCAACAAACATTTCTTTTACGGAAGTGAGGCTCAATTGCTATGGAACAATTTGCCTCAAGATAACTGAAAGGCCATGGCAGTAACAACCTTGGATATATTATCTCCCTTTGGCAGTAGCAGCATGAACCTCTTTAGAAGTTGGCTGCTAGAAACCTGGCAGTTGTGTGTGGGTGGGTAGGTGGGGGATTAAAACTGGACAGTGTGACTTAATGACTACCCAGAGAAGTTTCTGCTAAGAAAACAGGCATGAAATTTTTGTAATCTGGCATAAATATAACTAAGTTAAGTAAGTCCACAATAATGCCCACCTAGGTACCTGTGTAAAAGAATTCAGAGATCAGACATTCTAAAAATTTTTTAAAAGAATGTCCTTTACAGATTATGACAAGTTTATACATTCATACATATCCATACTTGCTCATCTCCATCCTAACTCCCCAACCCTTGTCCCAGAGACACCCCTCCACCATTCTTCTCCATTTTTCTTTGGTAACCCAGAAATGTTCTAAATTCTGGTAGATCTACTAATTACTACATCAGAGTATTTATTTACCTTTCCTCTTCAATAAAAGCTTCCTCAAGATCTGCCTCCATGGTCAGGGATCACAGGTTCCTTTGTTTTGTTTTCTGTTTCTATTCTGTTCCTTTCAACTGACAAGAAGACAAGCCTCTAAGGGTAAAGTATTCAAAAGCACTGCTAGTCCAGGGAAGTATTTCTATGATCCTGAATACAGGCCTGCACCAGAGCCTGCATGGTACGAAGGCAAATTAAAACAGACGTCCTTTGGTAGGACCTCAGGGATGTCTAAAAAGTGGGCATTAAAAGGCCCCAAATCTAAGATTTTTCTGGCCTTGTAATTCAGCTGTTTACTGAGAAAGGATTTAGCCGCAAAACCAAAGGCTTGGGAGAAAAGGGCATGTGAGGCTAAAATTAGATGGCAATGGAGTCAGAGAAAATTCTCTTATTCTTGTTCTGGCCAAAATACATAGCAGAATCAACTGAACCATGGTCTGCTGTGGAGTATCTGACTGGCTAAAGCTGATGGGTATGGGCATAATAGTAGCAGTGTTCAGCTATGTGAGAAGGATAGTGTGGTTACGAGATATTTTGCAAAAACTGCTAAATAAACATTTCAATGAACTAAAACAGCTTAAATATACATTGTTAAAAAGCCATAGTACTCTCTCCACACAGTATACTTCTGATTTGAAATCATCGCCCTGGCTTGGTTGTGGTGGCGCACACCTTTAATCCCAGCACTTGGGAGGCAGAGGCAGGCGGATCTCTGTGAGTTTGAGGTCAGTCTGGTCTATAAGAGCTAGTTCTAGAAAATAGTCAGGGCTGTTACACAGAGAAATCCTGTCCAAATAAAATACATAATTTTGGCTTAAAACTTAGGCTTCTTGTCTTTGGCTCATTTATACTGATGATAAGAGGACTTTTAAAATAAGCAATGTATTGGGTAGATGACTTATAGTTTGGACATTGAAGTACTCCTTGCAGGCTCAAGTATTAAATATTTGGTTCCTACCTTGAGATAGTTATATTGGGAAGTTGTGGAAACTTAAGCAGATAGGACGTACCTGCACAAAGTAGTTACAGGGAGTATATCTTTGGCGAGTACCTAGTCCCTGGTCCCTTCTGCTTTTCCAGACCACTATGAATGAGTAGTCTCTGTTGCACACCCTTGCTGCCATAATCTTCTCCTTTACCACGAGCCCAAAATCAACAGCCAAGGACTATAGATTGAAATCTATAAAACTGTGAACTAAAACACATCTATCTCCCCTCCAAGTGGTTCTCTCAAATATTTGGTCAGTTATACACAAAAATAACTGGTGCTCAAAGTAAGTTAAACAAGCAGTTTAGAGAACACATGCAACCTTTCAAGAATACAATTAATATACAAAAATAGAACTGTTTGGCTAGGTCTTAAGATTTACTTCATACTTCTAAAGCTTCAAAGTCAGAAAATATGACTGTTAAAACCCAACAGAGTTAGTTAAAATTTTTTAAGTAATAAAATATTAAAGTTTTTCATCAACATCAATTCTATCTCGTCAACTCAGTTTTTATAGGTTTCATTGTGCATGATATATCTGCTATATTCTTTCATTCCTTATAATGCAGACATAAGTTACCAAGGCTAGACTTTTAAAAGTCTTGGCAGCATGGTGTTGTTTGGTCTAAGGACAAGTGGTCACGCTTTCCCAGAATAGCTATACCACTTTGCCGACCTCTTCATCTCTCTTTTATCCCTTACTCTAAGAGTTACTCTTTCTTAAAGACTGATCACATTCTTTATACACTGTATCATATACTCCTTATTTCTAACTCATCTATTATTGTGTAGGTATGTCAAAAGCATATGAGGTATTTCCACTGAATAAGCTAATCAATCAAGATGTTACATATTAATGTGAGATATGCATTAGACTGATGACTATCAGTACTGAAATAAGAAACTGAATCTGTCAATCAGAATAAAAAATTATAGTAGGAACATACTTTAGAAATGATATGAATAGCCAGGAGTGGTATCACATACCTGGAGGGCAGAGACAGCCAGATCACTGAGATCAAGGATAGCCAGGACTACATAGGGAGACCTTGTCTCAATACATGAAATAAGAAAAAAGAAAAGAAAGATATAGACATGCTTTCTATAACTGAGGGTGATAACCATCTCAATTACTTTTCCCCTGATACTTTTCATAACATATTATGTTTATGTTTATGATTTCTTTCCTTTAAAAAAATTTAAGAAGGCTGTCTTACATTCTCCTACTCCCTGACTACACTATCATATTACCTGAACTAACACTTGAGAGCATACACTAAAAATCAAAGAATAGCCAGTAACCATAGTGGTAAAGAGAAAAGAGGCAATAAGACATTTCACCGGGCAGTGGTGGCACACTCTTTAATTCCAGCACTCGGGAGGTAGAGGCAGGTGAATTTCTGTGAGTTTGAGGTCAGCTTGGTCTACAAGAGCAATTTCAGGACAGGCTCCAAAGCTACAGAGAAACCCTGTCTCAAAAAACAAAACAACACCAAAAACAAACAAACAAACAAAAAACCCACCAAATAAAACAAGACATTTCAAGGACAAATAAATACATTTACAAATATATTCTTAAAATTACTTAAGTACCACCTTGTTTCAAGTATTCTAATATCTAAGATTATTTCAAGTGAAGAAATTAAATTTACTTTAAACTAAAGAATTAAGAAAACATTGGAAAGGGGGTCTTACGGTGATGATTCCAGAACTATGCTATTAGCTTGCGTTGATGATGGAGATCTCTGATTTACAAAACCATCACTGGGGGATGTGTGAACCACATGGTCTACCAAATGACCAACAGAAGATGGCCGGACCCGGGTCCCCTCTTGTGTGAATGCAGAACTCCGACTAAATGAAGAGAAACAAAGGCTGAAGAAAAGTATACTTTGAATTTTCCATGCTTTTTGATTATCTGGTTTCATCTTAAAGTGGGTATATATGTTTGTGTGTGTTTTAAAGACTACGCTGACTAGGCAGAATCTCTAACAGTGATATAAACAGAAAGAACACAACATAGCAAGTCAATACATGACTGCCATCTACGTCTACCATAAGGACTTTACCCATTCTGCTCTACCTAGTATTACTAGGTTTCACTCATTACTAATCTTATGCCTTATTCAAATTTATGAAACTGACTAGAATAAATGTTCAGAAATAGAGTCTAGTCTCAATTATGTTTTCTTCTTAATGTTTTTAATTTTGTGCAATTTGAATTCCTAAGATTATATGATGAGGAAGAATCCCACTATTCCTAACCAGCATTTACATAATTATCATCTTTATGATTATAATTGCAATAGTTAATAACTGAGCACTTGCTATGTACGGGGCATTTTTCTAATTATTTTTTATTTGTTATATATTTTAATACCACATTAAAACTGTAGGACACTTACTATGACAAGGATGCTGAGAATAAAGGCATGTGCCATTGTGTCTATCTACAAATAGGATTTAGCAGATGAGTAAATAGGATGGAAATTAACTTCAAGATTTAAACATTGACTCTAGGGCCACTGCTATACTGTACTTTTCCCCCAAATCATCCTTAAAATTATTTCATTTCCTAGAAAACTTAATCAGAGCTAATGTTATTTAGATCATCTCAGTTACACTCCTACCTTCCCTTCCTTCCCCTCACCTCATCCTGCCCCCCTCTCCCTCTCCTCCCCTTTCCTAGCTTTACTTCTCTTTCCTTGCCTTCCCTTCTAGTGTGGGAAATCTGAGGAAGTCTTCCCTTTGCAGCTCAGACAGGGTTAGAGCTGTAGCACACAGCTCTTGGTTCAACTCTACCTGAGCTTATGGGACTGCTGTTAGAAAGCATTTTTTAGGCCAGAGGAAGTGCTAGATCACACTGAATAACAATTATTCAAACAAAGCATTTTCCAACAATTTACACCCTCTTAGAAATCCTGGAATTGCCAGGAGGTGGTGGGACACCTTTAATTCCAGCATTTGGGAGGCAGAAGAAGGTGGATCTCTGTGAGTTCAAGGACATAGAAAGTTCCAGGACAGCCAAGGGCAGTTAACACAGAGAAACCCGTCTCAAAAAAACAAAACAAAACAAAAATCGAGGTGGAAATCTACATGGAAATATATATAAGCAACAGCTCTATGGAATTTTGAAGTCGTGACTAGATACTTAATTACCCTTCTTGTGAAAGTCAACTGCTGAGGAAAATGAAGGTTGTCCTTCAATCTTCTCATTCATTCCCTACAGCAATTTTTTAACAGTGAGGAGCAAAAAAGGGGCAATAATGCTTGAAGTAACGAAAATCATGTTTGGGTCTGGTAAGGTAGCTAATCGATTAAAGGCATCTGAATACCTGATTTCAATCCTGGGGACTGACACAGTGGAAGAACTGATTCCCCCAAGTTGTCTTCTAATCTCCATATGCCAACTACTACATACATGCATATGCCCTCACATATAAACAAACATACACACACAAAAGTAAAATAAAATCAAAGTATTTTTTGAAAATCTGATCAAAGGATTTAAATTTTTATGTATTATGATGTTTAGGCGATAAAATACGTAGCCAATAACTTAGAAAGTAGCAAAACGCAAGCTCGATGCTGGCTTGCCACTTACTGATTGGGAGTTCCAGGTGGAGACCGGGATGGGAGGCTTTGTGTTTCTAACCTGTCATCAGACAACGAATTTCTGCTGACTACTTCCCAATCCATTAATTTTCGAGCCAACGGCTTACTTGGAGATCTGTAGAAAATTTGAATAATACATTGAAAAGTGATGTTTTTATATAACAGATAACTATGAATCAAATCTTAAAATTCATTTTAATAGATTATATTCAATGAGTTTGCTTATAAAAAATGAGTTGTTTTGACAGTATTTATCAAATAATTTCAAAAAAGCTATATTTGCTTTATATGACAAAAAAAAGAAAGATGGGGCTATGAAGAATAAGATAGGAAACAGGAAATTAAAAAAGGAAATAAAGAGAAGCAAGGTAGTAATTAGCTACCAAACATTTTCTCAAATTACAAAGCTACAGATCTTTGCTTACGTCTATTCTGGAGTACTCGGGGTGGTATTTATCACGAGATGTACTGAACAATACTCACTACATTATCTTTTCAATGACTTTTAATTCTGAACCTTCACTGCAATGAGGAGAAGACCAAAAAAGATAATCGTACATACTACATCTATAACTTCTCCTTTATATAGAGTATGGTCAGTGAAGTTTCTTTTCCCTTCTTTTTGTAAAAACTTTTTAAAAACTACAATATCTTGTGGCGGGTAACAAAAGGATATTTTTTAAAGACTTATTCTATTTTTAATTATATGTATGGGTTCTTGTGTGTGTTTGTGTGTATGTATGTAAGTGTAGGTGCCTGCAGAGGCAAGAAAGCTTCAGATCTCTTGGGGCTGGAATAACAGACTGCTGTTAAGCTGAGTGATAAGAATTCTGGGAAATGAACTTAAGTCCTCTGCCAAAGTAACCATTGTAATGATTTTAGCAACATAAGTCTGATACTTCCAGGTTCTAGGAGTCATGCGGGTACAAACAGTCCTCAGGCAGAAGTGCCTACTGGCCCCTTTAATGGATGTTAAAGGGCCCCCACATGACCCATGTGCAGCATGGATTACATCATCTACATATGATTCAGTTAAGCCCTTGCACGCATGCATGAGCCCCGTCATCTGCCTGCATATGATGTAGCCACGACAAACCCCAGTGCGCATGCACTAAGCAGCTTTTAAAAGCCCTCTCTCTTCTCCCCAACCCTCCCCCCCCCCGTCTGCACACTAACTTCCCCAGGCCTGTACACATCCCCCTCTAATAAACTCCTAAGTACGTTGTTGTATGTTCCCTGTTTCCTTCTCACTCGCGCCCAGTAATTTTAGTAACAATGGCTCCCATCCACTGAGTAACCTCCCCAGAACAAAAGGATATGTTTTATTACCTATTATCAGCTATCATAGGAGAAAAACAGAATTAAGTGATCCCCCCACAAAATGCTAATCTCCACAGAGCAAATGGTATTAACTATATTCAGAGATATAAACCCTTATAGTTTTAGGAATGAATATTAATAAGCAAAGTTTTTAATATGCAAGTTCAAGTACTACCCAAAACTCTTCTACATAAATGTGTACTTCTTTGATATCTAGAATTATTCTGGAAGTTAATTCAATGAATTAAGTAACTTAAATAAACATAAAGTAAAACACCCAATGTGGCATTTAATCTCAGTAATAAATTCCTCAAGACTCACAAAAATCATGTATGTTATTTTCTGTTACACCACAATAAAGCAAATAGATACTGTCATATTAATGTAAAAAGCCAGATCATAAAAAATTTAAATAGAAACACTTATTTGTATAAAATAACACAGCCGAGCAGCAACACATATGAACTCAAAGTGATTGTGACAGCATACACAAAAGCTGTGTAAGTCCAAGCCAGACCAAGTCCCACCCTAGCTGAGGAGCTACTGACAGTTCTTAGCTGCCAAGAGAGGAAAGGTCAATTTTCTCTAACACTGTACCCACTGATAAGTCTACCGTATTCTAGTGAAAGGCTACATAGTAAAGAATGTTTGAGGCAGCACAAATTGGTCTTGATGGAAAAAACAAAACAAAAACCATGACAAGCACAAAGATGGAGGGAAAAAGAAGTAAGGCATGGAATAGAAAGAGCTGGGTGAGAGAAGGTGAATATGATCAAAATAAATTATACAAAATTTAAAAAGAACTTTTAAAACGTATATTAAAAGGCAACAAACTTTTCAGTGTTGGACCATAATACCAAAAAATTCTTCATTCTATGAATTTTATTTTCAGACTTTCCAATAAAAATATTTATTTACTTCTATATATAGTTTTAAGGTTATTGGATTTAGAATATTACCTTAAAAATTGGTCATGAGTTTCCCTTTTTATCATGTATTATGTACATACTTTTACATAAATTAAGAAAAATACCAGTCAAGGCACAAAATAAATGTAAATTTAAGTAATCCAGATATGTTCAAACAGTAAAATCAGTATGTAGCCAAATTTCAAAGTTTGCAGTTGCAGCCTACAATTTGCTTTGTGACATATTAACTACACAAACAGAATGGCTTGAGAGAATGGTATTTCATAGTGCTTTGTGTTCACAGAAGGAAACATTAAAATAACCATGCCTACTAGGGGCACTGAATGCTAATTCTAGCCTATACTAGAAAAATTATTTAAGTTTCTATACTCAATATCTAAATTCACCAGTGCAATAGGGGTGTTACATTGTCCTTCCTTACCACTTCAATTTTATGACTTCACAGTCATAAACACTATAGTTTTTAATGCAACGTTTTAGCCTCTTAAAAGGTTAGGTTATGAATAATAAATACTTAAAACCTAAATCATACAAGTGTCCTATCATTTTGGTATTTTAGAGTCAAACACTCTTGATTTGGTCTACTCTCTTTTACTATAAAACCAACGGGCATCTTCTAAAAGAGATGCGGTGCTACTGGTAATACAAACCAACAAGCAAGCAAGCAAACAAATAAACAAAAAATGGACTCAAATTTCATTTCCAAATGAAAAGGCAAAGGAATTTAACCACAAATACTTCTTCCTATCATTTTGAGTTTAAATCACAGGACTTCTTGACTTGAACTCAGGACACCAATAGATTCAGTTACTCATAGTGGAGGGCACATATTTGAATTAGTTACACAAATGACAATATATGTCTTCAATTAAAATAATAAAATCTTAAACTTACCATAATTTACCATTTCTAGTTCTTTTAGTGTTAATCTTTAATAGTCACAAACTATTCTTTCCTTATAAGTTAGACTAAACTAAGCTGCAAGAGCTAACAAGATCAATTAGAAGAGAAGGAAAGTGATCAATTGGAAATCCAGCATACTTACCTAGTACAAACTGTCTGAATACTTTATTCTTGGTAACGAACTAAACATGTTTGTAAATGTCTTGAGTTTAAAACTAAATTTCAGGCATTTTACTTTATTAACAGTTTTAACCTCAGAGACCCACCCACTCAAGTTTGTTGTCTATGTTTCCTGTTCTGTGCGGAAATTTCAGAGAAAAAAATACCACACTGTTAACAATGTGGTGAGTTTATTTTCTGACCAGGACACCTTATTTTTCTGTTGATGAGAACTTGGTTCTCCTCTCTTCTTGGAATATTATTATAAGATATCATAAAAAGTGTGAAAGCAATTCAAAGAGTTGATATATAAGGGAGAAAAGGATTATTGATAAAATTTTACATATTAAAATTGAAGATCTTTGTTAACTTTCTATTTATATGGCCACCTAAAATTCAGAGAGACAAGAAATCTGCAAATGACTTATCACTTTATAAAACCATTAGAGAATTTTAGTAGCTATGTATGAAGTAAATGTCTTACATAAAATACTCTCAAGGAAGTTTAACTTTCAGGGACAGAGCAATCATTAAGATGCCCCAGCAATATTAAAACTGCTCCCATGGACAAGAACACAGCTCCAGAACAGAACATTTGCCTAGCATGTGTAAGGCCCTAAACTTGGGAACCTAGTACCTTAAAAAAGAAACACCTACACCCCAGCGAACAAAGACAGTACTATACAAACTTAATAGCATTTTAATAATGAATATACAAAACAATGAAGATGCATAAATATCTGCGTATTTCTAAAATCTAATAAAAACAATTAAAACAACACAATAATTTGATTTTTAGAAATATGGGAAGACTGCAAATAAGAGACAGTACAAAAAGCCACAACAAATTCTTTCTAACTTAGAATTATGTTGATAAGAAGTAAAATATTTTCTTTTGAAGAGTTGTACAGAAAACACTTTAATTTTCTAAGCAAAATCTCTTTTTCCAGGTCCATACAACTTTCTGATTGGAGCACTGGATCAAGATAGACACAACATCCACACACAGACACATACACTCTCTTGAGTTTATGCAAGGAAGCAGCTTGAGTAACACCACAAACTTTGTAGGGCCGTCTTGGATGATTTATTTTTCAAGTCATTTGATACTGTTTGGATTTTAGAATATAATGAATTGTCACTCATTGTTAGAAACAAGGAGCAATTTTTACTTTGGAAGGAACTAAAAGAGAAATGGCAAAACCAAACATGAAACTATATCTTACAGAAACATAAAGCTGGAAGGATTTCAATAGCTGTTTAGAATAAAATTTTGACCAAGTAAAATTCTTCTGTTATCTTTATGAAAGCGTTCAAGTCTCTAACAGCAGTAGATGCCAGACATACAACTAGTTCTTCAGGGTTTGAAACTTTTGAAGTAGTTTCCACTAGGAACAAACTCCTGTTTCACTATGCCTGTTGTCATTGGTCAGAAGCTGATGCTAGTTCCATCAAATTTGTTCCCTTTCCTCCACTAGTGTTTAGTAAAGCTCTTTATTATTCTTACTTGTATAACTGTAACTATCTCCTAATTAGTCACTAGGTATCCAATCTCTACTTTACAAACACACTTTTCTGAAATGTAAATTTGATTGTATCATTTCTGTCACTAAAAAGCAAACTGGCCCTAACAAATTTTAATGAAGGGAAGATGATAAATTTTTCAAAAAGGTAAATCAAGCGGGGCGGTGGTGGCGCATGCCTTTAATCCCAGCACTCGGGAGGCAGAGGCAGGCGGATCTCTGGGAGTTCGAGACCAGCCTGGTCTACAAGAGCTAGTTCCAGGACAGGCTCCAAAACCACAGAGAAACCCTGTCTCGAAAAAAACCAAAAAAAAAATCCAAAAGGTAAATCAAAGGTATCTTAACTTTTAATAGCATGACTTAAATAAATATAAAAATAAGCTGGATAATAGGACTCTGTACATTTCTCAAAAATATGTAACAGGAGAGTGACTTTGGAACAAAAGGTTGTATTAGTGATACTTGATGTAGCTATTCAAACCTATTGTACTCAATGTATGATTAACATTCATAAATATGTAACAAAATAAACCAGGACATTAGATAAACTAGTTCCATTTCATAAACACAGTATGTTGTTTAATAGATCATTTAGAAAACATTGCTAATAATTTAAAAATTTTTTTATTTATGTGTATGTGTGTGCACCTGAGTATATGCATACGCACTACATGCATGTAAGAGTTCATGGTCCAGAAGAGGGCATCAGATTCCTGGACCTGGAGTTGCAAGCAGTTCTAAGCTACTATGTGGTGCTAAGAAATGAACTGGAACTTTTATAAGAGCAGTTAGAAATGAACTGGAACTTTTATAAGAGCAGTTAGTACGTCTAACTACTGAGCCACCTCTCCAGTCCCCATTTCTAATAATGTTTATTCTTTTAAAAACTCATAGATTTGTTGGGCTGGTGAGACAGATTAGTAGGTAAATAAAAGTGCTTGTTGCCCAGCCGACAATGTGGGTTCAACCTCAGGACCCACATAATGGAAGGAGAGAACCAATTCCCAAAGTTTGTCCTCTGATCTTTGCACACACACATGCATGTGTATGTATGTAATATATCAGAAAATAAATTATAAAATGTAACAAACAAACAAACAAACAAACAAAAACCCTCAGATAACTAAAACAGAATTGACTTACCTTGCAAATACCCTGTCTTTATTTGCCTTTTCTTTGCCATATTGAACTGACTGGACTTCAGTTCTCCCACTGAAATACATAAATATGCATAATATCTTAAAGGGGACTACAGGATAAAATGACAACATACAGCATGATTATATTACAATTTTATAAGAGACAAGACATTTATGATGACAAGAAGAACAATAAAAGCAGCAGAATAAGAAGGAAAGACTGGATTACTTTCCAGTTCCACTGGGATAGGCAAAGCTAATTTAGCAGTTTACAAGATGTGTCCAATAGACACGAATTTAATAACAGGAACCTCTCTAGAGTTAGAGATGCCTTGTATCAAACAAGCTCCACAGCCCTGACTTACCCTACAGGTTGAGTTAGCTAATGTCTCCATTGCGTCTAACTGATGAGCTAAACTTTGTGGTATCTTGGATAACTTTTCTTTCCTTTTCTGCTACCAATTATTACATATATGAAGACATCCTATCAATTCCCTCCATGTCCCAATACAGAAAATTTCAGATTTTGAATGTAGGAAAGAAATGAGATCAGAAATATTGGGGCTTCTGGGCACCATGTTTGCCTTGAAGTTGATTTGCCTAGAAAGCACACTGTGTACACAGAGGAGATACTTATCTGGTCATTCTCTGTGGTACATCACTGTGTTCAGTTAACTATGGTATTGAAAGAGTAGTTCTCAGAGAATTGATGAAGATAATCTGTTACTGAGTTGTGAATGAACATAAATTTCTAGTACAGAAAGTAGAACCATTTATAACTATAGATATTTAATGTATTTAAAAGTAGCCAAATATATATTCTCAAAGCCACACAAGCAAATTTCAGATTACATTCCTAGGGCAAATTTAAATAGCTGTGAACTACATGGCATGATTGATTTTAATGTAAAAATGGGGAACTTTTATAAAAAATGTTGGTTAATGTTTCATAGAAAATTATATTGCCTCTAAGACCACCATATATTCACGTTTACTAGTTTAATGCATTTAATCCCTTGGATATATAGAATTGGAATAAACACATATGTAAACAGAAGTGGTTAAGAAAGCAATAAACCTTCTTAATCTTTCCAGCTCCACTTTCTATTTTCAATAATATTTCAACATCTTAAATATAACAATAGCATCAGTATTCCTTGTCATTGCTTACCATGAGGGGAGGGGGTTAATCAATGTCTATTTTGGGCATGTCTATTAAAGAAAGAATTGTATGCAGCTATACAGGTCATGCTGACTTTACTACTTCGCTTGCAAGACAATTCACACTTAATAATTTAAAAGTGCTTCAGATACATTTTAAAGTTAAGAACTACAAACACGGAACTTAACTTTTGAAACTATAAATATATATGACCTGTGTCTAAACACGAATATTCTGTATCCCTGTGCTTTGCTACATTTATCATGGGGCTGTACTTTCCCACTTTCTTGATTCCTTTCCCACTTAAAGTTCTGCTAGGTTCTGCTTTCATAATGTGTAGAAGAAGGAAGATCAGAAGAGTAGGAAAAATGCAAAGTAGTGCTTACAAGTGCTGGGAGCTGCTTCAGAAGACCTGGGAACAAAGGGCAGAGAAGCACAACACACCTTGAGGCAGTACTACTTCTGTGACAGGTTCAGGACTAACTGGACTGGCCATGATAGTATCTGAAATGTAGTAGCAGGTGTAGACTCAGGGAATCCAAACCAAAAGTGACCCTTGCGTATTACTCCTCTTGCATACGTGGTTCTCAAAAATCACCCTTCCTTAACGTACTTTCCCATTTTTGTTTGCTTTTTGTTTTTAAAAGTCTATGTAACCAAGTCTAAGGATTGATTTTCTTTTACACAAAATATCAAAAAGAAATCTGAGTTTCTCTAACTCAATCCTGAGTTAGCAGTAAAGTAGATTTAAATACAACTCTATTGCTCAAAAGGATGGAATAACAAGTCAAAGTTCATGGCAAGCGGGAATAGTTGATTGTTCAAAGGGATTTATATTGCATATTTTCCATAACACACTCTTTAAAAGAGTTAGAATAAAATAAAAACCTGTAGCAATATTAGAATACCAAATTGTGACAGTACGAATTTAAAGAATGAGGAACTACCAACTGTTACATACATATACATAAGCTTATTACAGAAACTTGAGTAATAAAATATATAATGAAAAGAACAACTAAAATATAAGTTAGTCTTCAGTTTGAAATAATCATTACAAAAAGATAAAAAAACATTCTGGGGGAAGGGCAGTGTTGGTGCATGCCTTTAATCCCAGCACTCGGGAGGCAGAGTTCGAGGCCAGCCTGGTCTACAAGAGCGAGTTCCAGGACAGGCTCCAAAGCTACAGAAAAACCCTGTCTTGAAAAACAAACAAAAACCAAACGAACAAACAAAAAACCATTCTGGAACTTCGTATATACTGACTTAGAAAGGCTAGAAATATAGACATAGTCTTATGCTGGGATTACAAGGCATGTGCTCAGGGAAGAATTGCTGTTGGTTGGAAGGAAGTGGGGAAGGCTTAGAAAAACCTTACAAAGTTGATATGCACATTTACAATATGACATGTTTTAATTTTTGTCCATGGACACAAATACTTCCTCTCACCTATCTTTCTTTTTAAAAATTATCTTTTTAATTTTAAAAAGCTTTTATCATTTCAACTCCTTTCTCTCATCATTCTGACAGTTGCTAAGGATTAACGCTATTGGACCAGGACTTTTCTTGAGTTACTTTCTTGAGTTACTTAACTGGCCTAATTTTACTATTTTAAAAGAAAGGAAGGAAGGGAGAAAGAGAGGGAGGGAGGGAGAGAAGGAGGAAGGGAGGCAGGAAGAAACAAACCTCAAAGTTATATTTTCATTTTTATTTTATGTGTAAGAGGGCTTTGTTGACACATATGTATGTGTACCATGCATGTGCAGTGCCTTTAGAGGCCAGAAAAGGGTATGAATGACATAGAAGAAACTTGAAGTTTCATAATAGCCAGAATTTGTAAACAACCTATATATTCCTCAACAGGAGAATAAATAAGTAAAATATGGTATATTAATACAATAGTTTTATACAGTCATTTAAAAATGCTATCATGAAATTTGCAGGCAAAAAGATGGAACTAGAAAAAATCCTGAATGAGGTATTCCAGATGCAGAAAGATGGATATGGTATATGTCACTTATATTAGCTGTTAAGTCAATGATAACCAAGCTACAATTCATAGAACCAGAGTGTATAGTGTAAGGGTCCTTAACTTTCTTAATGCTACAAGCCTTTAACAGAGTTCTTCATGTTATGGTGACCCCAACCAAAAAATTATTTTTGTTGATACTTCTTAACATAATATGAAGCATAATATAAATATCTGATATATAGAATATCTGATATGTGACTCCTGTGAAAGGGTCATTCGACCCCCAAAGGGGTCAGGACCCACACATTGATAACCATTTGTCTAGAGGGACCAGATAGCTCTCAAAAGGAAAGGGAAATAGAATAGTTATGGATTTATGGATGAATGAATGAAGGAAAACTTAGCCACTAGATAAAGATAACAAATGAACTGTCACAACCGCTGAAATGAGGAAAATCAGTTTTCTCCAATAGAGTAACATTAGGTGTACCATAGTCTTGGACAGGCCTCATGTTCAGGAGTAGTTGAGCAACATAATGGAGTCCACATTGTGTGTGTGTGTGTGTGTGTGTGTGTGTGTGTGTGTGTGTACACAGTTGGGTGAGTTTTTTGTGGGGAAAGAGTTATTTTGTTTTCTTGATTCTGGGGGTATTTGCTCTTGGATTGGGGTTTTTTTTTTTTTTGAGAAAGAACTTAAAGGTGTATACGTAGGGAGGGAGAGAGGATCTGGAAGGACTTGGAGGGGGAAAGAATATCATCAAAATACATTTAAATTTTAAATTGTTTTAAATAATAAAGAAAAAGAGTAGAACTGATATTGTAAAAGACTTACTAATAGATTTTCTTAGGACACAATAAGCTACACAAAGTAGATTTTAACAAAGGGAGCTACTGCCTCCAAAATACCCCCAAATAAGAAGTCTGTTAAGAAGGCTAGTTAGAGATAAGCAAAATTTAGGATGCTAGGATATAAATGTTGTTCAGAAAGACTGACTAGCTATGGGGTTCCAATCCAATAACAAAGGAGATAACCCTGACTTCTAGCCAGCCGTTATGCCCATTTCTCTATGAAAGAGCATGCCTCCAACAGTCAATGAGGGGGCAGTGCAGAGTCACAACCAACATTAAAAGTCCTGGGTTATAATAAAGTCCCAAGTTCTATTCTTGGGAAAAGCATAATTCTACTAGATGGGCAAGATGACCTTGGATAACATCTATTTGAAAAAGAATGCACGGGTGTACTTAAAATAATTTGGGCAATATGCAATATTTTTGCTGTGTAAATCTTTCATCTGCCTAAGTAAGTGCCTTAGGAGACTTCTTGTCTCCTGTCTCTGCTTAAATTGTTCAAAGTGTAACCCGCCTGCGGTTGGAGCCTAAAAGAAATGTAAAGGATGACAGCATATAGGAAATGCTTAACCTATGACTATATGAGTTAGCAAGATATTCTAATCAAGGTCAGCTTCTTTGTGGGCATTACCCAGAGCCAGATGTGCACTAAATTAAAGAGCTTTTTCTTTTATTAATCTCTAAATGTACAGAGTGAATTCTCCATGGAAGAGTATTAATTCTACAACATCAGAACCTCTGGAATTGGAGTAATAGACAGTTCTGGGCTAACATGTGGATGATGGGAACCAAACCTAGTTACTCTGTAAGAGCAGCAAGTGTTCCTAAGCACTGTGTCATCTCTCAGCTCCTGATTCACAGATCTTACGGTGCCTGGGATTTTACATATTGAATAATGTCTACTATGTTGTATTTAAACCTTCTTGAATGGCAATCTGGCTGAGCTTACCATTTTCAGGCAATTCTATCTCTACTTCATTTTAGAAATGAGCTACATAAGTCTGAAGAAAAAATTTAGTTGGCACATAGATTGCTTAAAAATAATTCACTCTGATGAGATTTAATTTATTCTATTTAACAATTTAATTATTTTATTTAATGGCAGGAGTAACCAATATTGAAATTTTAAAATATAATTTAGAATAAAAGTATAAAAATAATTAAGGTTAATAGAGACTTGAAAGACATGGGTGCCCAAAACTACAAACATTGCTGGGAGATACAAATTAAAACTTAACGACACACTGAGCTTCATGAGAGGAAAGAACCAGTATTTTTAAGATATCAGTCTTCCAAAATTTATTATTATCAATACAGTCACAATCTAGCTGAAAGCTTTTTTTAAAACCTAGGAATAGAGATACTATTAATAATTCTCAAATTCAAATGAAAATACAAAAAAAACCTAGAACACCTAAAATACCTTTTTAAAAAACAAAATTGGAAGAGTGAAACTTCTACATTTTAGTAATAAAGTAAATGAACAAGACAATACTTATGAACAACAAAAGTGAAAAGGAACAACTAAACATCACAGATAAGAAATAAATTTCAATGTATATTTTATACCAAATAATCCACGGACCTACATGTAAGAGCTAAAATTGTGAAACTTATACAAGAAACTAAAGAAATAGGTTATAGTACGGTGGACTAGACAACGTTTTCACAGATATGACAAAAAGCTAAGATTCATAAAAGGACTAACTGGTAAGAGAACTTCAACAAAATAAGACCCATGCTGTTCAAAAGACCCAAGTAAACAATGAAAATAGCAAACACTGATGAATCCATGGGAGAAACTGGAACTCCATACTGTTTGGGGGCAGTGCTGAGGATTGAACCCAGGGCCTGTCACATGTTAAGCAAGTTCTCTGCCATTAGGCTACACAACCAGCCCTGAGCTAGAACTCCTCCACATTGCAGAATTGTATATAAATGGCCTAATTACTTTGAAGATATATTTGGAGGTGCCTTACTAGGTTAAACATCCTTCAGCCATATAACCTCGCCATTCTATTCATAGTTGTTTACCCAAGAAAACAAAGTAAACGTGCACATAAAACCTTAGATATGCATATATGTGTGTGTATATGTATGTATGTATGTTCACAGAAGCTTTATTTATAATAGCCCAAATCTGGAAAATGGATATCCATTATTAAGTGAATGGTAAACAAACCATATTTGTACATTAGAGTAGAACTCTGCAATAAGAGAATTAGCAATATAAGTAACATGGATGAAACAACATAATTATGCTAAGTAAAAGTGGTCACATTATAATAAAAATGCAATTTATATGAGGAACTAGAAAATGAAAACCAGCTTAAAGAGACAACAGACCAGCAACTTCCTAATGACAAATGATTGGCAAAAGGAGTTACAGAGAGACATGAAGGGTCTTTTGAGAATAATGAGCATGTGTGCTACCTTGACTGAATCGTCACTCAAGAAGATTTAACTCAATAACTGTAAAACTTGAATATAGTTATTTACTATATGTGAATGCTTCAATAAAGTTATTTTAAAACATTCAATTTCAAAACATTCATAATCTTAGTTTTGTTAAAAAATATATGAAATGTGCTAATACTAGGCCATTGTTACCTGATGGGGCGTGGTCGATCGGTATTTAGAATTAACCAGACCAGTTTAATATAATAGATTCAGCATTTAATAAACAGAAGAAAAAGAACTTACAAACCCAGGGTTCCAGCGATCCAGGAGCACAGGGAACAAAAGGAAGGAGGCAAGCACACCTGGATGGTTTATCTGTTTTTCTGTGGCCCCAGGGGGACACACCCTAAATGGAATGTGATTGGCTGAGTTCCCCATCAGTTACCAAAGGGAGTAACTGCCTGAATGGTTATTGCTATTCTCTTAGCCAATTTTAGTTTCTTTTCCTTTAAAAAGAGATTTATATTGATTTTTAATCACGTATATATGCATATCTACATACAAGAGGCACTTGATCCCACTGGAGCTCAAGTTACAGGCACCTGTGAATGGTGACATGGGTGTTGATAATTGAACTCTAGAAGAGCAGCACTCGCTCTTAACCACTGAGCTCTCCAGCTTGCAGTTTTAGTTTCTTTCTCTTTCTAGACATAGATAGTTGTTGAGCTTGGTTTTTAAATAATTGTCTATATTAGAGAGTTCCTTCTATTTCAGTGTGTGTGTGTGTGTTTTCCCCCAAACTAGTTCTTCAATTGTCTTTTCTAATTTGGATTCATCATGACTAGCTTTTCTATTGGATGTTGTATGGTCTGAGTAACCTACTTGACTTTTTTTTTCTTATTTTATCTAAGACCTGTTTGAAATGAACTGGAAGTTAGTTCCTGCACTCTACTCATTTTTTTGTAGTCTAAATGAAACCGTGTGTGTATATCCTTGCATAATGACACTGGTGGTCACTTAGGAATTAAACTCATTTTAGGAATATCTTTAAAGGTTATCAATGTTCTCCCTTTCAGAGAGTGCACGGGACATTCCTGTCCCTGCTGAAGCTATCAGCAAGTACCTGTGTTTTCTTGATTGTCATCATTGACCTGACATTCTCTTCCTCAGTATACTTAACCATTAAAATGGCAAGTACTGCATAGTATCTTTCCGAATACTGCTTTTAGAAAAGTTAAAAAAAAAAAAAAAGGCTTTGCTAAAACATGTTGTCAAGCTACTTAAGAATCTGCTCTGTTTTTTTTTTTTTTTTTTTTTGGTAAAAAAGATAAAATAAAATTCTACTTCATGGCTGATACTGAATTCCTATACTTAAATTTCTTTCCATGGGTGACAGGCATATATTTTAAGTGATATATCATGCACAAATGTTGTTATTATATTTACTGATATTACACGTTGAGCATTTATAGATATTCGGGTTTATGTTAGTAATCTTTTGGAAGTATATCTAAACATTTTTTATCATAGAACAATTTCTTCCATCATAAAATATTAGAGATTGAAAGTCAAAAATAAAAATAGATAAAAATGAATATGATTTATTTTATTAAATCACCAGTAACTTTTTCTGCATGAGTCGTACTAGATTCCACTTCAAAACTAGCTTTTATGTGTTATTTTAGACTTCTACAGATAAGACTAATCAGGGCTTCTTCAAAGTTATTTTTTGTTGCCTTTGGGAGAATTTTTTTTCTCCCAAAAAAAAAATTTTAAAAAGTTATTAAATGCCAAAGTCACAGTTGAATAGGAAAATTACTTCTCATATAGCACAGAAAATTCATTATGATTGGCATTAATTGTAAATTTCAAACTAGGTAGAAGACAGAGTTTAGAATATTTCAACACAAGGGCATGATGCACATCTGAGGCTGTAGATATAGCTGGTGATTAAATGCTGCATACACAGCAATGGCCACACTACACCTCATTATGAATCCATCAAAAAATTACTTTAAAGAGAATAAGTAAAATATATTTAGGGGGACTGGAGAAACGGCTCAGTAGTTAGGAGCACTGATTGCTCTTCTAGAAAAGTCAGGTTTGATTACTAGCACCTGAACAGTAGCTCACGCCTGTCTATAATTCCAAATCAGGGACTCTCTTCTACCTTCTCTGGGCATTGTTCAAATATGGTGCATAGATATATATGCAGACAAAACACCCATACACAGAAAATGAAAATAAAGGAAAAAATTTTAAGACATAATTTTAGGAAAAGTTATTTCTCTGAATTTATGCTGAATTATAGACAAAGAATACAGGAAAATGTCAGGATCTGGGGATCTTTTTTGTCTGCTTGCTTAATGGTTGTTTTGAATTCTTTCAGGCTGGATAACTCCAAGAACTGCTAAACTGTAGACTATATATTAGCTTTTACAAATGAAATGAACATATCTTATAGAAAAGTTTCCATATATATAATAAGTAAACTGGGAACTATAAAATCTGTTGAGATTGTAACTATACAAATATAGCTAATTACTAAATAAAATAATTATCTACAGCACAATCACAAGCACAGGTCTTCAAGCTTAGCATGCATCACAAAACATCATATGATGTACTGATACAGACGTATAGAAAGGATTTTGACTCTGTAGGTTATGTGACTAACAATGATTCTATTGCTTTGTATTTAGATCTTTAATGAATTCATTTATTTTTAAAATCTATTTTATGATATGGGTGGTTTGTCTGTCATATATTTGTGTACCATGCATGCCTGGTGCTCGTGGGGGCCAAAAGAGGATGATGTCTGCCCTGAAACTGGGGTTTCAAATACTGTGAGCTGCCATGTGGGTGCTGGGAATTAAACCTGTGTCCTTCTGGAAGAGAAGCTAGTGCTCTAAATCTATGAGCCCTTTCTCTAGCCTTAGACCTTTAATCTAAAGGTAAGGGGAAACAAAATCTCCCCAAATAAAGTGTTAGTATAAAAGTAGTACTTACCAGTACCGGAATTTGGAACCCAGGGTAAAATAATGTGCAAAAAAATTCTTTTGAGGTGGAAGTGGTCTATCCAGGCGGAAGAATGTATGATGTTCTACACATGCTTTCCACAAATTTTTACATGCTCTGTAATTCACCATATTAAATCCCAGCAATGTTTCTCTAGATTCATGCTGTATTAAAGGACAAAATTCAGAGAATATGGGAAAATATCAGGATCTGATAATACTTTTGACAGATAAATTAAGCAAGCCCTATAAACATTAATCTCCTCCTTTATGGTTTTGTTTATTCAACAACGACTCAGTGAACTAAGTGAAAAGATAAGTAAAATGCATTTTAGTAATTTTACAACCTTGAGGGACTTCTATTCTCTATCATAGTTAGAAAAAAGTTTAAATTTTTTACCATTTTCAAATCTTATTAGCTATGAGTCTGCTTCAAAATATAATCATGGACCATAAATTAAATTTAAAATAGGCGCACAAATTGCATTGCACCTTGATGAAAAATAAGAATCTTCAGCACCTCCAAGCACTATTACAAAATTGCATTATAAACTGACTAGCGCTAAAACTGAATAACTTTAGTTTTTCTTTTTTGCATAAACCACACTACAGCAAAGCACATATCTCCTGAGTTCTGACTCCAGACAATGCGACCAGTCAATGCAGACTATGACAGATCGTTCTATGCCCCCTGGTAATACTCTCCACTCCTTCTTACATTAGATTATCTTCTAATGATAATTACTTTTTTGTCATGATCATAAATTAGTCAACTTGTTTTCATTTTTCTTGGTATTCTATTGTAATATAGCCACAACAGTTTATCTAATGTGCATAGACATATGATATTTCCCATTTGGGATAGAAGAGTAATGTTGTATGTGTATGTATGTGTGTATATATACACACACATAGATATATATGTATATATATATTCCTATCATCTGTATATACATGTATATATTTCTGTTCCTGGATCATAACATATATGTTTAGCTTGAGTGGTTAATACTTCCAACAACAGAGTATGTTCTATCTATATCCTACCCAGTTCTGCAAATTTCTGTTTTGGTTTTGTATTTGTTTACTGAGACAGCATTTCACACTGTAACTTAGGCTGGCCTGGAACTCACTATGTGGTTCAGGCTGGACTAGAACTTATGACAGTTCTCCTACCTTATCTTTTGGGTATTGCATTATAATCATGTACCACACCACCTAATTTCAGTCTTTCTTACTTCACTGTCTTGATAGACAGGCAGAAGTGGAACATTTTGGTTGTGACCTACACCTATTCTAGATGACTAATAAAATTCAACATCCTTTCATGTTAATGGCCATGTGGATTTTCGGAGGGCGGGGGGAAGGTTGGGTAAAGCATGGCCTCTTCTGTAGACCAGGCCAGGTTTGAACTTGTGGCAATAACCCTCTTAGTTTCTCAAATGCTGGGATTATAGCTTTGGGTTGCCATGTTTACCTTGTATTAGTTTTTAAGGCAGGCTCTCACATTATGTAGCCAAGGTTGATTTTGAACTCACAACTTTCTTGTTTTAACCTTGTTAAGTATCTGGCTACCATGTGGATACTGTCTTTCCTGAAGTTGGTATTTAAGTCACTCGCATATTTTCTGTTAGATAGGATATATATATATACATATATATATATATGCAAGGACTTGTACAGGCATGTGTACTACATATATAGTCAGTGCTACTTTACACTCTTAATGAGACTTCTTGATGAAAAGTTACCAGTTTTGAAACAGTCCAAAAGATCAATTAATTATCTTTAAAGTTAAGAACTCCTATGCTTTCTCCAAGAAAAATTTTCATCATGCAAATATTTTCCATAATTAAACCATAATAAAATGTTCATATATAAGAATGTATTTTCATATTAGAAAGTAAAATGATTAAGCATAACTTGTTGATCACTAGAAAATTAAATGTACCATTAACAATTGTTTGTACATGCACTATCAGTTTACATGTTATATACTATACAATGAACATTATGAAAAATGACAGAATGTCTCACGGAGAACATAATACAGTAACATTCTTAGTGTGTGTGCACTAAAATTTAGATATATTGCCTCCCTTTTAAACAGTTGCTTCAAACAGTCTGTATATAATTTGGACACTAACTGTATTTGAAGTGCAATAACAATTTTTTCCAATGAAACAATGGACATAAAGTGTCTTAAGAATAAGTGCAACAGGCCAAGCTGTGATTTAATTAAAAAAAAAAGAGTAAGTGCAACAAATTAAAGTTTGGATTTGCTGCTGTGGTTTAGGCACAAAGTCTTGCTTTGTAGCTCTACATGTCTGAAACTTGCTATGTAAACCAGGGCTAGCCTTGAACAAGCAGCTACCCCACAATGTCTGCCTCCAGAGCACAAAGATTGCAGGTGTGCATCACTACACCTGACTATAAGTTTGGATAGTTACAAACAAAGGTTTTACAGAGAAACATTGGCAACATGACCTGCAGAGTATTCCTGTGTGTGGTCTTTAGTCACTCCCTATTTGGCTTTTGATGCTAACTGATATAATCTCTGAGAGAACAAGTATGAGAACTAAATAGTAAGAATGGTTCATATATTACCAGGCACATATTGTTTTCAATAAATGTTACACTTCACAATTGTTATCATTATTATTCTTATTACTGGTAACACATTCACCACAATGAGGTAAACTAGAAAAGTTCCTTCTACAATATTCTCTCTAGTTACTCCAAGTAAAATATCTGTTCTCTAGGATCACCAATTGTAGGCTCCGTGTCCCTTATTTATGGCTAGAAACCAATTATGAGTGAGTACATCCCATATTCATCTTTTTGGGTCTGGGTTACCTCACTCAGGATAGTGTTTTCTATTTCCATCCATTTGCATGCAAAATTCGAGAAGTCATTTTTTTTTTTTACCGCAGCATAACCAAAGGAAAAACATATAGTTATCCTCTTGGCTACGGGAAGTAGACAAAGTTGCCGGGGAGAAAATTGAGAGCTTGGGGGTGGGGTGGGATGGGGGTAAGGGGAGATGGGGAGAGAAACGGGAGAAGGGGAGGAAGGGGGGAACTTGGGGAAAAAGGAGGATTGGGATAAAGGAAGGTTGGATAGGGGAGCACGGAAGCACAATTCTTAGTTAAGGGAGCCACCTTAGGGTTGGCAAGAGACTTGAACCTAGAGTGGCTCCCAGGTGCCCAAGCCGAGGTCCCCAGTTAATTCCTTGGGCAGCTGGGGATAGGGAACCTGAAATGACCCTATCCTATAGCAATACTGACGAATATCTTGCATATCATCATAGAACCTTCATCTGGTGATGGATGGAGATAGAGACAGAGACCCACACTGGAGCACTGGATTGAGCTCCCAAGGTCCTAATGAGGAGCAGGAGGGAGAACATGAGCAAAGAAGTCAGGACCACGAGGGGTGCACTCACCCACGGAGACAGTGGAGCTGATCTATTGGGAGCTCACCAAGGCCAGCTGGACTGTGACTGAAAAAGCATGGGATAAAACTGGACTCTCTGAACATGGCAAACAATGAGAGCTGATGAGACGCCAAGGACAATGGCAAGGGGTTTTGATCCTACGTAATGTGCTGGCTTTGTGGGAGCATAGCCAGTTTGGATATTCACCTTCCTAGATATGGACGGAGGGGGGAGGACCTAGGACTTACCACAGGGCAGGGAACCCTGACTGCTCTTTGGACTGGAGAGGGAGGGGGAAAGGAGTGGGGGGAGGGGGAGAAGGGTGGGAGGAGGGGGAGAAGGATGGGAGGAGGGGGAGGGAAATGGGAGGCTGGGAGGAGGTGGAAACTTGGTTTTTTTTTCTTCTCATTTTCTCAATAAAAAAAGATGTATAAAAAAATATCTGTTCTCTAGTGTCTGGATAACAAGATTCATTACACTTTCTTCTCTGGATATTTACTTACACACACACACACACACACACACACACACTCACACACACACAGTGTGACTGTTCTGTACCAGGATTAGTCATAATATTCCCCACTAACAGGAGAATGAACTGATAGTTTATGGCATATGCACTTAGTGGAATATCACACAATAAGGAGCAAACCATGCAACATCATGGATGTCAGTACAACAATATGAATTGCACATAGTGAAGGGAAAGAAGGCAAACACAAATAAACATGCTATATAGCTTCATTCTGAGCTATGAGTGTAAACTAATTTATGACAGTACTAATGAGAATAATGCTGCTTATCTGTTGGTAAAGTTAATAGCTGGAAGTGGACATCTCCTCCATTAGCACAGAACTAGGTCATGTTCTATATATTAATATGAGTTTATCAAGTATATACTTAAGGTCTAAGTACTTTCCCATACTAAATTTCATTTTGATAAAAATTCTATTTTTAATATTCTCCCATATTTGGTAAACATAAATGATAAACCATAATCACAAAATAGAACACTTTCTTCTAGCAGATGAATATTATAGCTAATTCAAATACAGTGTTAAGATTTTAAGGAAATTTTACACATACATATCTTAAAACATTGATATGAGATTCTCGTCTGAATGCTGTGAATATCACTGGTTAAAAAAGAAACTATCTTAGGCCTGCACAGGGCAGAATATAGGTAGGTGGAGAAAACTAAACTGAATGCTGGGAGGAAGAAGGAAGAGTGAGTGAGACACCATGTAGCTCTGCCAGAGACAGACAACGGAACTTTATCTGGTAAGCCACAGCCTTGGGGCAATACACAGATGGAGATGGGTTAAATTAAGATGTAAAAGTAAGCCAATAAGAAGCTAGAGATAATGGGCGAAGCAGTGATGTAAATAATATGATTTCTATGAGAGTATTTCAGGAGTCTGGGTGGCTGAGAAATGAACAAACAGCCTCCTAAAACAAATTGGAAACCAACGTAGGGCCATAATGTATTAATTTGCAAAGATTTATAAAAAATACAAACCAAGAACAGGTTAGGTTGTTTGCACATTAATATTTGTAAATATGTACGTGTTTTGTGCCAGAGTCTTGCCTTATAACTCAGGATAGCTTCAAATAGATAGTCCTCCTGCATGCTTGTGATTATAGGTTTATGTCACCATACCACACAAAGCTAGTTAATTTGATAAAACAGGTAAAATAATTTTAAGATGAAGTTGTTTTAACACTATACTATCACTTTGATACAAAATGTAAGTCCATGAACTAGAAACAAATATTCAGCATTCTCAAAATGAAATAAGCTTTCCTATCAAAGGAACTCCTATGGATTTAATATGGTAGAAAATTACAAGTATTTACATGTATGCACTTTTTTCTACAATGACAGAAAGTTTTAATTATTTTATCACTGTGTGTTGATAGGCATGTAGGTGCACATGCGCACATGAATTAGGATGCCAGAGGATAATCTCAGGGAGTATTTCTCAGAATATTGGAGACAGTCTCTCAAAGGCTGGGAGCTCTCTCATTAAGCTAGACTGGCAGGTCAGGGAGCTGGATGGATCAGCATGCTTCTGAGTTCTCAGATTAAACAGATAGATTATAAATGCAGCTTTTTTATTTGGGTTCAAGGCATCCAACTGCTGTTCTTGCACTTGTATAAACCCTATACAAATTGAGCCATTTTCCCCACCTATGGCTAGGCAATCTTAAAAGACTTCATTTGTATCAATAATTATTAGATCAATACTCACCAACTCTTTTCTAAGTTGAATAAAAAATTGTTTGCATTTAAAAGAAATTTTTACAATCTTCAACCTGCATAAAAGAGAATTAGAGTGTTCAAAATTACTGGCTAAATATGAAAATATTAAAAGATTTGGAAATTTATAGGTATGATTTTTTTTCATATTTTATGGTTTTTGAAAGTTTTATACATTTATACCTCCAACTCTTTCTGATACTACTACACTTTCTCCTTCCTAGCTTCATAGCCTCTTTTTAATTTTTGTTTTTGTTACTAATAACCCCAAGTTCAACTACTGCTGCCCATGTGCACACAGGTAAGTGGCCATGATCTTAAGTTTAATGTGTGCCAATATTTTCACATTTTGTCATATAATCTCTAATACATATATCAATAATGTAAAGTTTATGGAGCTTCTTAGAAAACAAAAAAAAATCTAGGTGCTCAACTGAGAAAATTTTTAACCAAATTCTATCTTCTATGAATTACATATTTCCCAATTTTCTATTTTCAGAAATATTCACCAAAATTAAAATCTCAACAAATATAAATAACATTTAAAATTTTTAATATTACAAAGCATGCATGAACGAAAGTATAAAATTTGGGGGTTTTATAAAACTTTATCTTAAAAACCATTAAAAAACGTATACATTACCTTTTAAAATATATGTAACTTATTTTTGTTTGTTATTTGAGACAGTCTCTCACTACATAGCCTTGGTTGGCCTGGAATTCACTGTTGGAAACCAGTCTGGTTTGCCTCTGACTTCACTGTGGCCACAACACCCAGCCCAAATATATGCAATTCATATAACACTAATTTCTCAATGTTCCATTAGTACAATTCTTGACTCAAGCTGGTTTGGCTTCTTATAATAACCATATAAAAATCATAATACTCAGATCTTTGTTGGCTGTAACACTTAAAGGCTATGAGGCCAAAGAGACTGGATCTTAGTAAAATGTGATTTGGGACCCAATTTTCTAGTATTTCTAAGATTTGACAGAGGTTCTAAGTTTTGATCTTCATGACTCATACCTGTATCTATTAAGAAGCTCTCAAAGAATAAAGTTCTCCAATCTCAGTCACTTGAGAAGACAAATGTACCAGTCATACTTAGGCAGATCCTTTTAGAGTGGGGAAATACAAGTTTAGGTCTGAACTTTGTGTTGCTGGGGGACTAAACCCAGGACTTTACACATGTCAGTCAAGTGCTATAATACTGTGCTAAATTCCCAGACCCAGGGTTGAAATTTATTATTTTTCTATTATATCTTGTGCTCTTACTTCATAAATAAATAACAACATGGATATATTATTTTCTCATATAACAGAGGGTATTATTTCCAGAAAGTAAAAAGACTGTATAAAATAGCCTGTATTTGTGGAAAGAAAGTAATTTAAAAACCTATACAGAACTACATATACTTTTAAATTTATACATTAATATTAAGAATCATCATGCAAGCAACAAATAAAAATGTTATTCATTTCTAAATGGACGAGAGAGAAAATACAATCTAATTCTAATCATCTTCATTTTGAAAAAAACACCAGAAAACATCAAACAATACAAAATTTTACACTGGATGATGGTCTTTAACAAAAGTCTACTTGTATGACTTGTGTTTCTTACAAACATATTCTATCAAACAATGAATAACACTTGTTTTATATAATAATAATATAGCTATAATATAATACTTCTTCCTTTGATTTACGTGTTCTTTTTTTTTTTTTTTTTTGGTTTTTCGAGACAGGGTTTCTCTGTGGTTTTGGAGCCTGTCCTGGAACTAGCTCTTGTAGACCAGGCTGGTCTCAAACTCACAGAGATCCGCCTGCCTCTGCCTCCCAAGTGCTGGGATTAAAGGTGTGAGCCACCACCGCCCGGCTTTTGATTTACGTGTTCTTAATATATCTTCTATAGTGAATTCTACCAATCTGTCTCTTTATGTTTTGTATATACCTCTCGTAAATAGAATATACGTAAAACTTTCAATCCCTTCTGAGTATTTCAAAGAGGATAGATGAAACATCAATAGCACATAAAAAGATGGTCAACATTATTAGCTATAAAAGAATACAGAGTAAAATTAAAATGAGATATCATTTAGTACCCAGCAGGATGCCTTTAAGTCAAAAGACTAACAATAAATGGTAGGGAGACTATGGTGAAATTAACCTAGCACATATCCCATTGGGGATGAAAGGTGATAGATACCACAGTTTGAGAAAAAAGCCTGGTGAACTTAGAAATTCTAATCCTTTGTATATGCCCCCTACCAACACTTATACAAATACGCAGTGGAGCACCAGTCTTTAAAGTCCAAAGAAACGGCTCTCTGTTCCTCCCTGTTCTAGAGACAGCCGCTTCTTTTCGTGCAGTGCCAGCCTCGTTCCAGAGACACAACAGCGAAGGTCGGAGCGAACAGATTTGGCCATATTGGACGCCTGGTTACCAGGGCTGCTTTCACTTCTGGCAAAGTGGACATTGTTGCCATCAATGACCCTTTCATCGACCTCAACTACATGGTCTACATGTTCCAGTATGACTCAACCCCCGGCAAGTTCAAAGGCACAGTTAAGGCTGAGAATGGGAAGCTTGTCATCAACGGGAAGGCCATCACCATCTTTCAGGAGCGAGATCCCGCCAACATCAAATGGGGAGGATGCCGGCGCTGAGTATGTTGTGGAGTAGACCAGTGTCTTCACAACCATGGAGAAGGCTGGGGTCCACTTGAAGGGTGGGGCCAAGAAGGTCATCATCTCTGCCCCTTCTGCCGATGCCCCCATGTTTGTGATGGGTGTGAACCATGACAAGTATGACAATTCCCTCAAGATTGTCAGCAACGCTTTCTGCACCACCAACTGCTTAGCCCCCTTGGCCAAGGTCATCCATGACAACTTTGGCATCGTGGTAGGACTCATGACCACAGTCCATGCCATCACGGCCACTCAGAAGACTGTGGATGGTCCTCTCTGGGAAGCTGTGGCGAGATGGCCGTGGCGCTGCCTAGAACATAATCCCTGCATCCACTGGCACTGCCAAGGTTGTGGGCAAAGTCCTCCCAGAGCTGAACGGGAAGCTCACGGGCATGGCCTTCCACATTCCAACCCCCAATGTGTCCCTTGTCGATCTGACATGCCGCCTGGAGAAAGCTGCCAAGTATGACGACATCAAGAAGGTGGTGAAGCAGGCATCCGAGGGCCCACTAAAGAGCATCCTGGGCTATACTGAGGACCAGGTTGTCTCCTATGACTTTAACAGTGACTCCCACTCTTCCACCTTCGATGCTGGGGCTGGCATTGCTCTCAATGACAACTTTGTAAAGCTCATTTCCTATACGACAATGAATTCGGCTACAGCAACAGAGTGGTGGACCTCACGGCCTACATGGCCTCCAAGGAGTAAGAAGCCCGCCCTGGACCACCCATCCCAGCAAGGACACAGCAAGAGAGAGGCCCTCGGCTGCTGAGCAGTCCCTGTCCTAACTAACCCTTGACACTGAGCATCTCCCTCACAGTTTCCATCCCAGACCCCCAGAATAGCAGGAGGGGGCTTAGGGAGCCCTACTTTCTTGAATACCATCAATGAAGTTCATTGCACCCTTCAAAAAAAATAAATAAAGTCCAAAAATAAACTGATGAACTGTGAAACAAAACGTGATGTAAGTAAGTGATAGGGCATTATTCAGCCTTAAAGGGGGCACTGATTGATATATGCTCTAAGATAGATGAATGTTAAGAACATGCTAACTGAGTCACTCAAACACATGGTATAATATCTCATTTTAGAACAAAATAGAAATATACTTAGGGCTGGAAGTAAGAGGCAAGACAAGGGGTACAAAATGATTTATGACAAATGATCTTTTCGGGACAATGAAAATGGTTCACAATTATATTAGGTGATGCTGTGTTCTTTAAATATACTACAAGCACTGTATATTTTCCAGTGGAATACATAAAGTATATAAATTATAAAGTTTAAAAATCAATTTTGATAATCTGCCTCTTTCAATCTGAAATGGTGGGTGCTATTTTTCCTGAAGAACTTAGTTTAATGTTTCTCACATGACAGGATTTCTTTAATTCTCTTGCTTCTGCAACTATAGACTGAGTTGATGAGTTTCATCTTTTAACACTTGTGAATATTTCACTCCATCATTCGTGGGCTCTCCAAAGACAAGTGTCATGTAATTCTTGCCCTTATTTCTCTGCAAAATGATGTTTTTGGTGTTTTCATTGTCTTGAAATTTGCAGTTGAATCCAGATATGATTTACCGACTAAAAGGAATCAGGTAAACATTCCTCAGCCGAAACTTCATGTTCATCTGACAGGACGAAGGCTGTGGTTACTGCACTGTGAGCAGCCTGAAGTGCAGGTTTAGCTTCCGCAAGTGCCCTTATTCTGCCACTCTCACTGTCCCTGGTTTCCTACTAGTCTCTTTCAATTGCTTTTCTTGCAATTTTTTACCTGTAATCCCCAGTTATTAGACAGGACCTTTGTTGATACAGCCTGTAATATGTGAGTGGGGAATCCGGTTTAATCCGATGATTAAATTTAAGTGGCATCGAAGAAGTCCATCCCCTTAGCTCTCACCATGAAAACAGGAAAAGGCACGTGGTTCATGAACTCACAAAGTTTGAAGACTCTCAGAAGACGGGACACCTTAAGTTTTTTTTTTAATCCATTCTACATCTGCCACCTGGCAACGAGTCACCGCCACCTTTTAAGCACTCCCAATCATCCATTCCCTTTTAGTCACTTGGCTCCAACTCTCAAGGCAGGAGTTTACTCTGAGAAGAACTTAAAGAAAGTTGTCAATTTTCAGTTTCTTTTGGGTTTTCTTTGTTGTGGCAGCAGGACAGTGAACACCTTACATGACAGATCGAGGAGATAAACTCTCTGTTCTTCTTTTATTATCCTAATGTCTTTGTTTTCTTGTACTGTGTATTGTAGAGAATAGCTGGAAATTATCCATTATAGCCCATGGTGATATGGGCTTGATAGTTCTAGCAGCTTTAAATCCCATATATTTAATTATTGAAAGCAATATTTAAGAT